CACAGCAAATATCATCTCAATGGGGAAAACCTGAGAGCTCTTCCCCTAAGGTCAGGAACACAGAAGGTATGTCCACCCTCATCACTGCTGTTCAACACAGTACGAGAAGTCTGGGCCTCCGCAGAGAAGAAAAAGCAATAAAAAGCATCAGAATCCGCAAAGAAGAAGTCAAACGCACTTTTTGCAGATGCCATGGTACTCTACATGGAAAGCCCCAAAGATTCTACCCCAAAATTGCTAGAACTTGTATAGGAATTCAGCAAAGTGGCAGGAAATAAAAATCCATGCACAAAAACCAGCTGCATTTCTATACACTAACAATGAGACAGAAGAAAGAGAAATTAAGGAGTCTCTCCCGTTTCCAATTGCACCCCAAACCATTAGATACCTAGGAATAAACCTAACCAAAGAGGTAAAGGATCTGTACTCAGAAAACTGTAGAACACTCATGAGAGAAATTGAGGAAGATACAAAGAAATGGAAAAACGTTCTATGCTCATGGATTGTAAGAACATATGTTGTTAAGACATCTGTGCTACCTAGGGCGGTCTATACATTCAGTGCAATCCCTGTCAAAATATCATCAACTTATTTCACAGAGTTGGAACAAATCATCCTAAAATTTGTATGGAACCAGAAAAGACCCTGAGTAGCCGCCAAAGGATTGTCAAACAGACAAACAAAACGAAAGACTGGCGGCATCACGATTTCAGACTTCAAGCTCTATTACAAAGCAATATTCAAATGACGGCATAGTACTGGCACAAAAACAGACACGTAGATCAATGGAACAGAATAGAGAATGTAGAAATGGACCTTCAACTAATCTTCGACAAAGCAGGAAAAATATCCTGTGGAAAAAAGACAGTCTCTTTAACAAACGGTGTTGTGAAAATCGGACAGCCACATGCAGAAGAATGAAAGTGGACCATTTCCTCACACCATACACAAAAATAGACTCAAAATGGATGAAAGACCTAACTGAGACAGGTGTCGATCAAAATGCTAGAGGAGAACACAGGCAGCAAACTCTGTGACGTCTGCTGCAGCAACGTCTTACGACACACGTCTCCAAAGGCAAGGGAAACGACGGCAAAAATGAACTATTGGGACTCCATGAATATTGAAAGCTTTGGCCAGCAAAGGAAGCTGTCGAGGAAACCAAAAGATACCCAACACGATGGGAGAAGATATTTGCAAATGACGTATGAGATAAAGGGCTAGTATCCAAGATCTATAAAGAACTTATCAACCTCAATACCCAAAGAACAAATAATCCAACAAGTAATGGGGAGAAGAAACAAAAGGTGCTCAGCAATAGAGCACCTGCCTTTGGTTCAGGTCATGATTCCAGAGTCCTGGGATTAAGTCCCACATCAGGCTCCCTGCGAGGAGCCTGCTTCTCCCTCTGCCTATGTCTCTCCCTCTCTCTCTGTGTCCCTCATGAATAAATAAATAAATAAAATATTTTTAAAAATCAAATGGGCAGAAGACATGAAGAGACATTCCGCCAGAGAGGACATACAAATGGCCGACAGACACATGAGACTACGCTCCACATGCTTCGGCATCAGGGAAACAGAAATCAAAACCACAGTGAGATACCACCTCACACAAGTCAGAGTGGCTAAAATTGATGAGTCAGGAAATGATAGACGTTGGCAAGGATGTGGAGAAAGGGGGACCCTTGTACACTGTTGGTGGTAATGTAAGCTGGTGTGGCTACTCTGGAGGTTCCTCAAAAAGTTCCAAATAGACCTACCGTATGACCCGGCATTTGCACTACTGGGTATTTACTCCAAAGACACAAGTGTAGTGATCCAGAGGGGCATCTGCACCCCAATGTTCATAGCAGCAATGTCCACAGGAGCCAAACTATGGAAAGAGCCCAGATGTCTATCAACAGATGAATGGATAAAGAGGACGTAGTGTGTGTGTGTGTGTGTGTGTGTGTGTGTGTGTGTGTATGTATAATGGATTATTACTCATCCATCAAAACGTGAAGTCTTGCCATTTCCAGCAACATGAATGGAACTAGAGGCTATTCCGCTAAGCGAAATAAGTCATCGAAAGACAATTATCTTATGATTTCACTTATACATGGAATTTAGGAAACAAAGAAGAGGAGCATAGGGGAAGAGAGGAAAAAATACAACAAGACGATATCAGAGAGAGACACAAACCATAAGTGACTCTTAATCATAGGCAACAAATGGAGGGTCGCTGGAGGAGAGGGGAGTGGGGGAATAGGATGACTGTGTGACGGACATTCAGGAGGGACATTAAGGAGGGACTGGGTGTTACATGAGGCTGATAAATCACTGACCTCTACCTTTGTAACCAATAATCCATCATATGTTAATATATTGAAGTGTTTGTTTTGTAAAAGAAGAAGAATATGGAGGCCATGTCCTCTTGAAGGGAAATCAGCACTATCCACCTTAATCTAAGATAAATTCTTGGCACACAGTTGTAAATATTAAAGGAAAAGAAAAGACAAAGAAAAACGTGGCTAAATAATCACATCCCCATTAAGCGACAGTATCATTGAACAGTGAACAGATGAGACTGATGGTGATGACCACAAACATCATGAAGGTAAGAAGACATCTCTTTATTATGTTTCCCCAGGAGACACCTTGCAGTGTCCTCTTTAATAACCTAAAGTAACATACCAACATGTCATCAAGGCAAGTTAAAAAATGACACCTGGTTCTCACAGTTTAATAACGAAGACTATCAAATAAATATTTACAGTTACAAGAACATGAGGGAACTAACCCGTCTGGTTATAAGTATAACTGATGTATTATATAAGTATAATAAAAACAAAACCTATCCTGAATATGTAAACAAAGTTATAGTTATGCAGCAGCTGAAATCTCATCACAAAACTACGTTGGAATAGCATGTCTTGGAAACTATGACTATTTCAGAACTATTTAAAATAAATACATAAATAAAAACTAGAGAAACAAATATAATCTAAGGGCAACATTTTCAAAATGAACAAATGAAATTCATGACATATGTTTGGCTGTCACAATCCTTCGGGTTCTAATTTTATATTTTTGAGGTAATTTCCTCCTCCCCTGTGTCCCAGTGCATGAAAAATGGGACCTCCGACCTCTACCTCAGCAGAGATTCAAATTAAGTAATGTGCAATATTTGATGGTATCCCAGGAGGGGATGGACGTGAAAAAAACCCTGGTTTCTTATTGTCTCTCCGTGGACTCCTCTCCATGGACTCCCAGCTCCTAGGAGTACAACATGATGACTCCACTGAGCTCGTTCTGGAAGGTCCTGGGTTCTTCTAGATTATCTGTGAAAGAGACTCCTGTGTTCCTGACTTCCGACTGAAAAACCTGCGTCTCCCCGGGGCTCAGGGATCTGCAATTGAGAAAGAGGGGAAGGACATCAGATTGCAAGGAGGCACCTCTCCAGATACAGAGATTATTCACCTTCTCAGTCCATTGTAATCAGAGTTGAGACGAATTTATAAATCCACTTTATCCCTCATCATTCGTTCTAAACCCCAGTTCATTTCCAAGCTTGACTTTTGGACTTTGGTGATCCTGGCTCCAAAAACTTCTTCATGTACCTAAGAACAGGCCCAGTCATCTACTTTATAGCCAGGGCTCGCTCTAGGTGATTCTGTTCAGGGACCAAAACAAACAACCTTGAGAGAATGTTGCTTTAGACTGGACACTCGCCTTGGTCCTTTTGTGCTACTTAGAGTCTGAACTAATCACCATACCGCAAACATCACTCACACATCAACATCATGAACCATGAGTCCAGATGCCTAATCCCCCATTCTAACCCTAGATCCGGATGTTTAACCATAACACCTAGTCCTAAAGTTGGTCAGTGCTATGTGGTCTGAATGTTTGTATCCCACACGCACACCCCAAATTCATACATTGAGATCCTAACCCACAAGGTGATGGTGCTAGATGGGGCCACTGGGATGATTAGGGCATGGGTGGGGCCCTCTTGAATGGGATTGGTGCTCTGATAAAAGAGACCCCAGTGACCTAGCTCTCCCCTTCCACCATGTGAGGACACAGCCAGAAGGTGGCAGTCTGCAACCCAGTAAAGGTTCTGACCAACCCAGTAAAGGTTCTGACACTCCGATCTCAGACTTGTCCCCTCCAAGTCTGTGAGAAATAAATGTCTGTTGTTCTTAAGCCATCCATCCACTCTGTAGTCCTCTGATGTAGGAGCCTAAATGGACTAACAGAGCTATAGTTCACATGAGTTGAACCCAATCTTCACTTAATCCTCTACCCAAATCTATAAGTTTATGTGTCGATCACAATAAGCCATGCTGAAACTGTTATTTCTTAAGCTTCACTTGTTCTGACAAACGTCCTTGACCAAAAACCTGAGGGGAAAGGTATAATTGAACAAAATGGGACACTGGTCCGGAAGCAGGCAGGGGACATGAAAGATGCACAGGCAATATGGCCATAAGCAATGTGCTTGAAAGGAAATTTGGATGAAAGCATAACTAGACATAATTTCTCTTGTATCACTAGATAGGTAGACTCTTCCATCAAATATCCTACTGTTAGACGTATACGTTGTTGTAAACAAGTCCCTGTGGTTGATACCTGTGAGGGATGAAAGGCCAAAAATGAATTAGAAAGTCTGGGGATCCCCGGGTGGCTCAGCGGTTTGGCGCCTGCCTTCGGCCCAGGGCATGACCCTGGAGTCCCAGGGTCGAGTCCCACATCAGGCTCCGTGCGTGGAGCCTGCTTCTCCCTGTGCCTGTGTCTCTGCCTCCTCTCTCTCTCTCTCTCTCTCTCTCTCTCTGTCTCTCTCTCTGTCTCTCTCTCTCTCTGTGTGTGTGTGTGTCTGTGTCCTCATGAATAGATAAATTGTTTTTCTAAGATTTTTACTTATTTATTCATGAGAGGCACAGAGAGAGAGAGGCAGAGACCCAGGCAGAGGGAGAAGCAGGCTCCACGCAGGGAGCCCGACGTGGGACTCGATCCCGGGTCTTCAGGAGCACACCCCGGGATGCAGGCGACACTAAAGCGCTGCGCCACCGCGGCTGGCCCGCTGTGCCACCGCGGCTGCCCTGGATAATAAAATCTTAAAAAAGAAAGAAAGAAAGTGAATACACAATTTATGGAATCAATTGAAAACTTCCTCACTTTCCACAGAAAATCAACATTTCATGAAAGCTATCCTTGGGGCCCCATTGCCGTGAATGGAATTCTTTCAGCCATGCCTCTGTGACAGACCGGTTTTCCCTAGTCTGGCCCCCACACATCTCCCTGAGGTCATGCCTGTGTGTGGTTGTGAGCATGTGGCTGGGACCTGAGTCAGCGTCTGGCTGCGTGGCTGCTCGACTTTACAGTGTGTGGGAAGGCTCATGTGTGGGGCAGGGGAGAGGAGCGTGGTCTAGCAATTGGATTCCTCAGATTTCCTCAATACACAATAAGTCATGGTGCCTGGACCCGTGACATACCTCCCCTCAGGCCGATGACCTCGGGCCTCCGTGGTCCCTCTAGGGTATGAGGGTGCGATCTCGCCCCCACACCCACAGATCTGGATCGAAAGCCTGGATCTGGAAGACAAACAGATCCCTGAGAAGACAACCTCCAGGTGGATTCCCCCTCCCTCCCACTCTCCAGGCTCTAATTCTTTCTCATCCTGAATCCCATGTCCTAACATGTTCCCCCCCCCCCTCCCATTCACCCACCCCTAATCCCCACAGCCCACCCACCTCCTCGCACTCTTCCCTGGACACCCTGGTCTTCCAGCCCATGGACCGGATGAATTGCAATCGCAGTTTGTGGAACAAGGGACGCTGGGAACGGTTCTTCCCATAAAGGAATGAAAAGATGGCTTGTTTGGGGGCCTGGTTATCCTCTTCCATATCATTGGCCAGGTAGCTGGAGAAAGACATGAGGTTGCTGGTCAGGAGCAGGACAGGAAGGACCCCCCCCACCTGAGCTCAGCTTCCCAGAAAAGATGTAGTCGGCTTCCTACCCAGCGTCGTCGAGCGCCCCCCAGTCATCAGGAAGGCACGGCTGGGCAGAGACTTCTCCCGCTTTGAGGAGAAAGACAACTCACCCAGAAGCTTGAGGGCATATGCTGCTCTGTTTTCCCATCCCTGAGCCCACCCCCTTCCCTTCAGCCTGTCTGTGCACACACCTGTCGCCCTGTGGAGCAGGGGCATGTGTACAGCTCCTGCTCTATTTCTGTAGTCCTGGCTTTCCTCCCAAATGACTAATATAGGACTGGGTTCATGTAGGTGCAGTAATTCAACATGCACTTCTTGTTTCTCTCTTCCCATCGCCTCGTGGTCCCTGGCACGTCAGATGTACTTTATACGTGTTTGTTGAATGAATAAGTGAATGCTTTCTCTCACGGTCAGGGGCAATACTGATTACCTCGTAGACCCGACCTAACTTAAACATTTGCAAAATGTAAGGAATTGTGCTGAGTGTTTTTGAGAGCATGGTAATATTTTGACAAGACCTGCCTCAACAGGTGTCTAGTGTAACGGGATTGGGGAAGGGGGAAAGGGGCAGAAGGGGGTAGTGAATGAGAAATAACGTTAGTCCAAAATACCCATGAGACTAGAATTTTAACAGAAGTGCTACTAGGGTGCAGAAGTCAGGGAGGTTAGGGGGCCATCTGAAGATTTTGCGGTTGGAATCAATCTCGAGGAAAGGCCGTTTTCTTCAGGGAGACGTGCAAAATCACCTAGACGGGAAACACAGTATAGAAACGGAGGGAAGGGTACTTGGAAGGATGAAACACGAAGAGGGTGAACAAGTTGGATGGAGATGAGGGGGTTGGAGCTAAGCTGGAAACTCTGACCTTGACCACTAGCACCCCTAGCCCATGAGATTGTTATGGAGCGTAGAGCAGGAGACGATGCTTTGGAAAGACTTCAGGCATATAGCACCCACTGGCTTGGGACGGATTTGTAAGAAACACCAGCGGGAGCCTTTACGACAGATCTGTGCTATGTCTTGAGGCTGAATTGAGGCATTTGTGCTGGGAGTGCAGAGGAGGAAGACAGTTATGCTTGGTATTGCCACGGGAAGAAGACAGATCTCAAGGATCAGAACTGGCTGCTGCTTGAGCCTAGTTGCTTGGGGCGAGGCAGCCTCTGTTCTTTCCTTCCCTCCTCTTTGGAGAGTTTTTGTTTCCTTCTCTTCAGGGGGTCTCTTAGCTGATGTTAGGGGCATTTGTGTTTACAAAGAATAGCATAAAAAACCACTATAATCCTACTGTTTTTATACACAGAGTAAACAGCTCAAAAAAAAAAAAAAAAGTAAGTAAATAAAACCCGCAAGATTTAAAGAGTTAGAAACAGGTTGAGAAAAAGAGCCGAAAGATCAGAGTCCCACTTCTACCCTCCTTCCTCCCAGGTTATTGACTACTGCTGATGGATGAGGCGAAATACTCACAGTGCCACGAAGAAATGAATTCGCTGGTACTGCCAGGAGAAGAGACCAGCGCGGCTAAAATAGGCGATGACCATGGACAAGAGATACTGGCGGAAAGAGGAGAAAAGCCGTCATAGAAGGGTCCCATCCTGGGAGAGGAAGACCAGTGAGGTGAGGGGACAGGAGGCTGGAGCAGGTGGTGCCTCTTTGACATGTTGGGTGAACCTGCTTCTTTGGTGTCAGACAGTTGGTTACAAACTGGGGAAAGCAAGGGAAGAGTTTGTGGTGCTCCCAGGATGGCTAGTTGTGCTGGTTTGAGGGCTTGTGTTTAGGACAGCCAGCTTGAGGGGGGTCTTTGATAAGCTGGAGCCAAAGGAAGCCCCCCAGGAGCAGAGAGGCAAAGGGACTTAAGGTAGCAACAGCCAGAGGGGCACAGCTGGTGCTCAGGTCCCAGGGGATCTGCAAAAGCCACGAGGTCCCGACCAGAAGTCTTGGTAGGCATGAGGTTGGAGAGAGGGTTGAGGAGGCATTCCCCTGCCCCAGGACAGGTGTTGGAGCAAGAGTCTATCTTAGTGGAGAACAACAATACCTTGTCGGATACTCTCAGATCTTTGTCCCAGGCCAGAAATCTTTTGATGACAGGATCCTCTGTGAAAAGAGGGCAGATGTCATGTTGGCAACTGGAATGGGGTTACTGTGGGAACCCTCTCTTTGTTCCAGAGCAAAGAGAACAGTACCTCCCCTGGGGAAGTTTCAGGATGTAGCCAAGGGTGAGGCTGATGGGCAGAGGGGAGAAAAGACCATGGACTGGCCAAGAAAAGTTGGCGGCTCCCCCGTGTCGGGTGACCCAGAGGCAGGCAGGTGTCAGCAGTGCATCTGCAGGATGGGATCTGAAGTAAATAGTGATGCTGTCTCATCATGCATGGATGTGCCACTGCAGAGACCATAACATCATCCGCTGTCATTTTCTCATTCCACAGTGGCATCGGGGTACAAAGATGGCCTGTCCTCCCCTCCCCGCCCCCGGCCCCGCCCCCGCCCCGACACAGCGGAAGGCACTCAGACTCAAAAGGCCAGTAAGCGCTAAGATGTCTCAGGAGTGCGACCGCACCTAAGCTTTCTCATCCCTCTGTCATTTCTAAGTGTCCCCGATGAGGGGTCAGTATGGAGTCCTCCAAGGATGGAGAGAGAGAGCTCAGCGACCTGCAAAGAATTATTTTCCATTGGAAAAGCGTAGCCATTGGAAGTTTCTTGTGTTTTCAGGAAAAACGAATAAGGTTGGAGGGTGCTGTTCCTACCGAGCAGCCTGTTGAACGCCTCGTGGTGCTCAGGGAGCACTGAAGATACCCGCTGTCTCTTCAGCTTCATCTTGAGTCCCCTCAGTGTCTCCACCACCCAGATGTCGTTGGCCTCAGGGGCTGTCTCCTCGTCGGATTCGATGTCTCTCTTCCTTCCGCGGGACTGAGGCAAGGGGCAGGGGTCTACAAAGGGGGCTGAGTGAAGAAACCAGGCTACAGTACGAAGTTTCTTCTGTCTTTGGAATTCAGCCACGCTTTCCACACCCGCAAACCCAAACTCCCTCTTCATTCTCTGTAGCCTCATAGATGATTGGCCTCTCCAAAACCACCTTTCATCTTTGTCCTTCATTCATATGCATTTGCCCCCATTCATCTTTGCCACTGTTTCATACCTCCCACCACGCCCTCAAAACTCTTCCTCGTAGATCATTTCTCCCATGAGGATAATGGGATAATGTCCTCTCTTCCTTTCTCTCATCTTTGGATCTCATCACCTAACCCTCCTTCCTTGCTTCCTGGGTTTTCCTGCCAGTGGGATACCCTTGTCCCCGGCTCCCGTGCTCTCTTCTCCAATCCCTGGCTTTCTGAATCTCTCCTGTCACGTGCAGTCTAGTCAGACATACCTTCCTGGCTTCTGTACCCATTTGTACTCACTAGTCAAGCCTGTCAAGGCTTCTCCCTCCTGCTTCTCCCTCCTGCCTCCTCACCTGATGGTCCTGGGCTTTCTTCATCTACCACGGCCTCCAGGGGGTACCCTGATGTGCTAGGCTGGGGGCTCTGGCCCTCAGACTGGGCGGACGGTTGACAACTGGCCATGATTTCTCCCAAGCTCTTTGCGCCCTCCCAGGAGACTCAGACCCTCCTCTTCTCAAACTCCCCTTCTGGCTTCTGGGTGAACCCAAGCCCTGTTATCCCTTCTCTAAGCTGGGGCCAAGCTAGGAGTATGGACATGCTCTGCGAAGATGCTCTTGTCCACCTCCGTTGCCAAGAACCACGGAGTCCAGTCTTTCCAATCAGGAAGGTCAGAAGCCTCTGATGTCATGCACCATTCCAGCCTGGCAGCCATTTTGAAGGAAGACACGTGCAACTGCGAGACCGAGGTCCACTTCTGGAGTTCAGGATCAAGGCTATCTCAAGTCGCCGATCCGGCCTGCAGCCATCCTCCAAAACGGTCCTCAGGGTGTCTGGATCACTCTACTCCTCTCCAGCAGATGCGGGGCTCTCTGCATCCTTCTATTCCTGTTTCAGGGTGCAGTCTGGCAGGAGAGGGAGGAAACAGACGAGGGAAGGTAAGATCTTACAAGAGTGAAATAAGTATGTAGGGAACGTCCAGGTACATGGACTTGTTGGATTGAAAAGTTAGGTTACGTCGCTTAATTTGGCAGAGCTCTCTCACTTGTTTTACTGATGCTGTGTTGGGGATTCTGTGCTGGGGGAGCATTCATGCTCTACTCTCCGGTGTCCCTGAGCCCGGGAGGTATTTTGGGAGCCTGCTCCTAGAAAATTGTACGTGTGCTCCCACACACATCAGATGCTGTCCCCGATTTCAGAAGTCCATGGATCACCCAGAACCTGCCCCTTGATTGCAGTTAATCAGCTCTAGCTTGCATGTAAAATTTTGAGCATGTGTATTACCCTTGACCTAGGAATTTCACTACTCCTTGTGTATCGTATGAATAAAATGTTGTGACGTGCCCACAAAGGCTGAGTGGAAAAACCTCCAATTGGAGGCAGAATCTGTTTTATTGAGAAGGTGGGAAGCCCCCAGGAGCACAGATGCAGTCACAAAATAACTGACTGGCTGTCCTGTAGTATCAGGGGAAGCTTCTTCCACACCTCGTACCTCCTTCCTCTGCTTTTCACCTGGGCATCTGAGTCTTACTTGCTCCTTCCTTCTTTTGGTGATAACACAACACAACATAAAATGCAGCATTTTAATCATTGGTGAGCGTATAATTAAGTGGCCTTAAGCACATTTGCGTTGCTGTGCTGCCATCAGCAACTTCCGTCTCTAGAACTTTGTCATCTTCCCTCAAACTGGAAGTCTGCACCCACTGAACCCCCATATCAGGCTCCCTGCTCATGGGGCGCCTGCCTTCCTCTCTCCCCGCTGCTTGTGTTCTCTCTGCCACTCTCCCTCTCATTCAAACAAATGAATGAAATCTCAAAAAAAAAAAAAAATCACACAACAACAACACCTGCCCTCTCCACTAAGTCACAGCTAGCCAGGGGCTGCTCACCCTGGCCTGTCATTCTCTAGTGAGTAATGGTTTCTGTGTTTCCCTTCTGTGACCCTTAAGACCTCGAGACGCCCTAGGAAGACGGCTTGCAGTGCTAACTCACAGAACAGAATTCTGGGATGGGGAGACGGGAAGAGGTTCTGGATACCGACTTCGAAGATCTGGTGTCTGAAGCTCAGTATTAAAGGTAAATCTTAGTCTTTGACTTTTATACTCCCCTGCACCCTGGCTGACATATACTTGGTGGGTCCCAAAGTCAGGTTAAGCTGTATCGTCTGTGGTTATCGCCTCTTTGAAACGTTCTGAAATGGTGTCTGCATACCAATTTGCCCATGTTTGTTTGCAAATCTTGTTTTGAATCAAAGATCTATCCTTCATAAGACATTTGCAGGAGGAATGTCTCTTCCTTTTCTTTGCTGCGTTGAGAGAGCAGGCTCCTAGGATTTGTTTTTTAGAAACAAGGATTGTGAAGCCCTAAAGACCGAAGCGGACCCCAGGATTCACTTCAGCTGTTTTGATTCAAATCCTGTAACCTTTTCACTGTGTTCCCTTCTCTGTCTGCCCAGACATCTGAGGATAGACAATCTGGAGGACATAAAGCAGGAGATAGAATACCTGTCTAAACGATGGGGGTGGTGGGGAGGTGGGAACGAAATGGTTTTGTTACAAAGCAGCCTGTACCCTAGCAATCTCCTTCTTCCAGGCCCCATTCTTCACCTATAAACTAAATACTTCGAAGATAATCTGTAGGGGGCCTTCCCTTACAGCTAACCAAGGCAGTGAGAAAGCCATTTGACATGACCAGTAACAATGCTAGGGTTGAATTGTGTGCCCCTCGCACGCTACCACCCATTCATGTGTACCACCCCTGGTACCTCAGAATGATTGTATTTAGTGGTGGGATCTTTATGGAAGAAATCAAGGTAAAGTGGGGTCTGTAGCATGCTGTCCTTTATGAAGGGAAAATTAGAGGGGGGGCGCCTGGGGGGCGCAGTTGGTTGAGCATCCAACTCGATTTTGGTCCAGCCCCTGCTCTCACGGTTGTTAGATTGAGCCCCACATCAAGCCCCAGAGAGGTCTGTTCCACACCAGAGAGGGGAGTCTGCTTCTCTCTCTCTCTCTCTCTATTTCTCTCTCTCTCTCTCTCTCTCTCTCTCTCGCTCTCGCTCTCTCTCACCCCCCCTTTTCCCCTCCCGTGGCTTGCTTGTGCTCTCTCCGTAAAATGAATGCATAACTTTTTTTTTTTTAAAGGGAAAATCTGGACACAAACATCCAAGTAGAGAGAAGAGAGTGTGATGACACAGGGAGAGAAGACTGACATCTACCTGCCAGGGAGGGAGGATGCAAGAGCCCCTCCCCCACAGCACTCAGAAGGAACCAGCCCTGCCCACACCTGAATCTCAGACTCCCAGCCTCCAGAACAGTGAGAGAATGTATTTTTGTCGTGCCCACACCTGAATCTCAGACTCCCAGCCTCCCAGAACAGTGAGAGAATGTATTTTTTCGTGCCCACACCTGAATCTCAGACTCCCAGCCTCCAGAACAGTGAGACCATGCATTTTTGTCGTGAACGCCTGAAAGCTGCCTGGTTTGTCTTACTTTGTTACAGCTTCCCTGTAGGCAGATCCAACCAGTATTTTTGAAGAAGAGGGAATTCAGATTTGACAGTCACTTTCCTGATACTTCTGCTGCCCCTTTCCCTAAGGCAAGACGCGTCCATGTCCAGAGGCTTCAAAGAAGAACCGGTTCTTTCACACAGATTAGAACCTTGAATGCCTCTGGCATTTCCTGGTCAAGGTGACTGTGTTCATTTTGGAAAACAAGGTGGAAAGACTTCAAGAGAAGAATGATTTACAAATCTTGAAGATGGGTGCCAGTTAGCTTAATAAAACTGATGCATTAAAGAGAGAAATAAACGGGAGCAAACCGAGGCGACTACTTAGGAAATTAAGGGTGGGAAAGGCTTCTTCAAAGACAGTGTCTAAGCAGATGAAAAGTATGAAGAGGAAGTGAACGATTTGAACACAGAAACAATATCCATATGACAGAAAATAAAGTAAAACATTAGGTTACAAAGATCAATGACTTGGGTCGCCTGGGTGGCTTTGCAGTTTGGTCGCTGCCTTCTGGCCAGGGCATGGTCCTGGGGTCCCGAGATCCAGATTGGCCCCCGTCGGGCTCCCCTTGGGGAGCCGGCTTCTCCCTCCACCTGTGTCTCTGCCTCTCTGTGTGCGTCTCTCATGATGAATGAATGAATGAATGAATAAAGCTCGATGATAAATTGGGAGAAATATTTGTGTTTTTTCCAAATACAAAAAGAGAAAACTTTTTATTTTAAACACTAATGAATGAAGAGATCTTAAACGATATGAAAAGATGCAGGTCCGCTGCTTCTGGCCCAGACGGACACACGAGGTGAAGATTTGCCCTCCCAGGTTAAAGAAGTTTCTAGAAGGAGGAGATAGCTAAAATCTGTCATTTCATATTTTCATGTATCTGGAGTGAAGGGTGAGCCTTAAGAGTGTCCAGTTCAGTGCCCAGAGAGTATTCAGGCCGAGGTAGGGGGCTGAGGTGGTGGGGCAGCCCAGCGTGTGTCAGTTGCAGGAACGCAGTGGGATGTTCGGGGGGTGGGGGGGGCACGACAGCCAGAGTTCACAGGCAGAGAGCCAGAGTGGAGAGGTGGGAGGGCGTCCGGGTCTTCAGCTGAGCCAGGCAGTGCCCTGGGGTGGTGGGGCGGGGAGCCGGGGCTGAAGGCCAGGACCCAGGGGACTGGGGTTCTGCCTGTCTTCACCGACGTGCTCGGCGCAGCTTCTGTCCTTTACCTGCTGAATACGGAAAAGAATATGGAAGGGATGTGCCTGGCGATCTTCTAGGCTCAGGCCCAGGGGAGGTGTGATCGCCTGGCTCCAATTGCAGCATTCCTTCGGTGAGCATTCCGGCACCAGCCACACTTCGTAGCAGCAAGAGCTGGGCAAGACTGCTCCTGGCTACACTGCCACTGCCATCGGCAGCTTCGGGAGAAGCACACCCTTTGTGCGCGATTAGTTTGATGCAGCAGCTCGGCTAAGGGAAATCGGGAATGGGTTATGTGCCCGTTCATTGGTATAAAAGAGTACTTACTGTTACTTTTTCGAAGAGATTTACGGGGGGGGCGGGGGGCGGCGGGAGGGGGGCCGTGGGTGGTTGGGTCGTTCAGCATCAGCCTTAGGCTCAGGTCGTGATCCCGGGCTCCTGGAATCAAGTCCTGCATCAGGCTCTCTGCCGGGGGCTTGCTTCTTCCTCTGCCTGTGTCTGTGCCTCTCTCTCTCTGTGTCTCTCATGAACAAATGCATAAAATCTAAAAAAAAAAAAAAAAAAAAGACAACGAAAAAACATAAGAGCGTTACTGGGGCACCTGGGTGGCTCAGTGGTTGAGCGCCTGTCTTTGGCTCAGGTGTGATCCTGGGGTCTTGGGATGGAGTACCCCAACAGGCCCCCTACGGGAAGCCTGCTTCTCCAGTTGCCTACGTCTCTTCCCCTCTCTCTGTGTGTGTGTGTGTGTGTGTGTGTGTGTGTCTCATGAATATCAAATCTTTTAAAAAAATGAGTAAACGTGTAATATACATACTTCCTCTGTTGATCTCATACGTATCTCAATATCTTTTGAAGCTAAACAATTGTATTGCCCACATTACAACCCAGGAAGGTTGTTCTTAGGGGCCTGGGAGCCATCTCTTTGACCTGTAAACCTCAAGGAAGATAGTGTCCCTCTGTGTCTCCGGGAGGGGGTAAGCATGGTCTCTAGGCATCTTGCTATGAGCTGTAAACTACCTGCTTGACAGAGAAAGGTAAGAACTTTTTTTTTCTCCTTCACACAGCGGCAACTAGGATGGACCAGCACCCCGACTACCAGGTGAATTTAGGATGAAGTATGAAAAAATGCGTAGCAGATGGTGCTGACAAGTCCTGTAGGTGTGAAACAGGTTTACCACTTAGGATGAGCACTATCGGCTGAGCTACAATGAAAGGCAAGTCTCGGGTTTCTCCTTGCCAACTTGTTAGTGGTTTGCCTGGGATGTGCGACACAGTCTGGTTTAAAGGTTATTTAACAGTAGGATGGGGGGCCTGGGTGGCTTAGCCAGGTAAGCAGCTGCCTCTTGGTTTGGACTCAGGTCCGGGTGTCAGGGTTGTGGAATGAAGCCCTCCGTGGGGCTGCAGGCTGAGCCTGGAGTCAGCTGGGGATTCTCTCCTCTTCTCCCTCTGCCCCTCCCCCTGCTCTCAGGAGAAGGAAGATTGATTTACTCATGGGAGACACAGAGAGAGGCAGAGAGGCAGGCAGAGGGAGAAGCAGGCCCCCTGCAGGGAGCCCGATGCGGGACTCCATCCTGGACCTGGGCATCACCGCCTGAGCCCAAGGCAGACGCTCAACTGCTGAGCCACCCAGGCGACCGGGAGAGTCCACTTTTAATCTCCACCACCCCGCGGCGTTGAAGAAGCAATCGGCCAGGAACACCGTTATATAATCTCTCCCCCCAAATACTGCCACATCCTTGTCCTTAGGACCTCCTCGTCAAAACATGGCATTTTAACCTAACATACATTTAATTCGTCGGACGGGCAAATTCCCAGGTATCCGGGTTCGGGTCTGTGTGTGTGTGAAATGCGGTTGTTCCACAGTCTGTACTTTGCATTCGTTGTGCAACTTGGACAAGCTACCTTTTCTATTTCCTTCTCCTCTCTTGGAGAAACCATGCGCCTGTCTTATGTCATTGCTGAGTAGTAATCGTATCCCGGTGTTTTCGTGAACCGTGTCATAGTTCAGTGACGTGCACACGTGCACCCTTCCCCGTCCTCTCCTGCTTGTGGAAGTCTCAGTGCCAAGCCGACAGACGTCAGGGCAAGGAAAGGACCAGGGATCCAGGACGCAGACACAGCCGCTCCTGGAAGCGACACGTCTCCTCGATTCCTCACGGGAGCGAAGACAACTGGGCCATTGGGCAGTAGGTCCGGATGGTCAATCCTCTGAGCACGGTGCCTCTTCCCCACCCGAGGAGGTGGAGACTTTCGAGACGTCCCCTAGCGTGTGGGCGCTTGGACTCCCGGGAAACAGAGTCCGGGGATTTGTGCCGCTCCCCCAGGGGGCTCCCGCAGGACCCGGGCCGCACGCCGGCGGCGCCGTGGTGCGCATGTGCAGCTCGGCCTGTGTGCGTGTTGGCGCAGGCGCAGTGCGGCCGCGCTGCTCTCGCTTCCTGTGCGTGCGCAGGTCCCCGCTCGCCGCGGTTCCCAGGCTTCGGCCTCCGGCGGCCGAGGATTCCCCGGGACCTGCGGGGCTGTCCGCCGTCCGGCCGGGCCGGCACCCAGCGGGCGCGGGTCCGCGCGGGCCGGGCGGAGGCGCGAGCGGGATCCCCCCAGCGCGAGCCCCGGAGCCCGCGGGCCTGGGCCGGAGGAGCCGGGCGGTCGAGTGGCGGCGGCGGCGGCGGCGGCGGCGGCGGCGGCTGCGGCGGGGCCCGGGTCCGGCCGGTTTGCGGCCGCAGGACGGCGAGGCGTCGGGCGGCCGTTTGGGGCCCCGGAGGGTGGTCGGCCCGAAGTGAGTTTGCGCGCTAGTTCCAGAGCCGGCGCCCCGGGAACGGCGGCCCCGGGAGGCGCAGGAGGAGCAGCCCCCGCCCCGGATCCCTCGCGAGCCTCGGGGCAGCTCGGCGGGTCCCGACGGGGTAGGTCGTGCGCTTGCGGGCCTCCTGGCGGTTGTGGATCTTCCGGGCGGCCAGAGTGCGCGCGCGCGGGCGGGGAGGGATGGGCGCTCCCCCGGGACGCGGGACTCGTGGGGTCCCGGCTTCCCGGGGGCGCAAGGGGCTCCCGCCTCCCCTTGCCCCGTCCCCCCCTGGCTGCGCCGTCGCCCCGTCCAGCCTCCAGACGGGTCTCTAGGCGCCCAGGAGTGTGTGCGGAGCCGGCTGCGTTGTGCCCTGGGGCATCTGCCGGTGGAGCGCAGGGCCGGTGTGCCAGGAGGGCCGGGCTGCGGCTGCCTGGTTGACAGAGGGGGAGCCTGGGCCTGAGAAGGGAGGCGGCTTGTCCAGGGCGACGGGGTCCGTGGGTGGGCTTGCTCTCGGGCCTGGGCTCCTGGGCGCGCGTGCTGGCCGCCTTGTACTGTTAAGTGAGGATAAGTTTCTTAAAAGACCCTTTCAACAGTACACTTATGTTCTTATGAATAATTTTTAAACATCGTTCCTGAGTCCATCTCTTTGCTGAGAGCACCCAGTCCTGATCTTAAATAGTTAAAGGAGGTGGTAAGAAAATAGGTGAATGTAAGAGGCTATCTTGTTTTATCTTGTATTTAATGGTGGAGGATCATTTCAGTATGATTCAGTGTTTGTTCACTAGTGAGACACATGCATATTCACTCAGTTGCCACATGGTCAGGTGGGAGCTACAGAGTGGTAGATGCCCCCTCATTCTTCCAGTCACTTCTGAAGGTTTCAAGGTATGGTGTCACATAGGTGTCCTTTAAGGAATGTTCCTTGAGAGTACTTTCCTTGGCAATCCCCATCTCACAAAACTTCATTACTTCTCTTTTCTTTCTCCAGGTGTGCTCCTACTTTCACTGTCCTCTGTGTTTTTCCAAGAGCGGTAGAAAATGAATAAATCTGTGGTGAGTGTTTCTGTTTATGAATTTATTCCACACTTGCTTATATAATATTCCCTACAAGGTGAGGAGTTTAGATTTTAAGGTGGGGATGCGAAGGTAGAAGGGGAAGAGAGGTATGGTTGGGTAGCACGCGGAGTGCCAGAGTTGCAGCAAGCACCTCTGTCATGTTCAGATGTGCGGATAGCATGATCCTTCAGAGCCCTTAACGCTAAAGTACGAACGCTGCTTGTGCTTGAGATTAGTTGCAAAAAATGACAAATACTATTCATTGCTTGACTTACATGTACCTGCTGAAACAGTTTTGTTTTCTTGTGCATTTTGCGATTTCTTTGTTTTGCTGTAATTGTGAACAGGCTTCCTAAGTGACAGTCCCTAAACCATGGCCAGTGGTGCCTTACTTCTGCCTCATGTAAAGGAGGCATACTGTCCAGGGAGCTCCCAGTGCATACTTTCTCTGGTAACTAAAAGAGCATCCCCTAAGTGTATCAGTTTTACTGCTCAAGCCAGGGGTAGGATGAGGAATCTCGAGGAATGGACTTCCCACCCTCCAGTAAGTCTCACTAAATATTTCTCTCTGATCATCTGTCTGATTTGCCTCTCAGACTGGGCAGTGACACCTCTGGCAGGGATTGCTTATTTCCCACTCATGTTTTTCCCATAGCCTACAGTCTCGGTTCTGCCCAGCCCCTCCCAGAACCTGACCTGGTCGAGCCACTCCTTGCCTTTGACCACTCTGCCGCCTTTTCCCTCTGCAGAGTCTGTCCTATTGGTTTCAGTGACGAGCCTCTCCTGCTCTCTTCCTGACTGCTACTTCTGTCCTCTCCATGTGTCGTTTCTTGCACCCCCACTCATGACTTTTTGTTTTACACCTGTCAGACCTCGACCTCCAGTGCTCTGAACCACCCACTATGTTAGTTCTCCCATGTGGACCAGATGCCTCTGCATGGCCACCTGCCAGCGTTTCCATGGAGGTTGTCCAGAGGACACCTCAGGTTAATAGATCCAGTAGATCCAGAAGTAATTATTTGTAGCCCCCTGCCCTTGCCTTCTGCTCTTGTCCCCGGCCGCCCTTTGTTCCATTACCCCGCCTGTCACTCTGTCCAGAAGAATGGGATTCATTCTGAGCTCTTTCTCCATCCTGTGTTATCCTTGTTGTTGTGGTACCTGGTACCTGTAAGTGGCTTCTCTCCCTTCCCCTTCATCCTTTTCTTGCCGCATTAAAATTGCTCGTTCTTTCATCCATGGACCATTAAAGAAGTTTCCGTTCTATGCTACTTCCTTCCTCTGCTGGCTCAATATATTTTCCACATTGAGCATTTCTCCAAAAATGTTAATCACATCGCTTTACCACCGTTCAGAAAGCACCTCAGGGGCTCCCTGAGTGAGTGGCAGGAAATGTGGGAGTGGGGGTGGGGAAGCAAGGGGACCTGGCTTGGCTTGTTGGTGAGACACAGAGTGGGAGTATGGCCTGGGTGTTCTAGCTGGGCTAGGCCCTGATACTACATGGGTGGCCCTGGGTTTGTTCTTAATCACCAGTGAGCTTAAGTATATTTTCACATGTTTGGAAGATCTTTCTTTCTTTCTTTCTTTCTTTCTTTCTTTCTTTCTTTCTTTTCTTTTCTTTTCTTTTCTTTTCTTTTCTTTTCTTTTCTTTTCTTTCTTTTTTTTTTTTTTTCAATTAGTAAGCTTATTTTTTAGAGCAGTTTAGGTTGGTAGGAAAATTAGCCAGATGGTACAGGGAGACCATCAACCCCTCCCTGTCTCAGTTCCCTGCTGTTGTGAACATCTTAGTGTGGTACATTGTTTCCTTGGGTGGGTCAGTGGTGATGGGTTATTATCTGAAGCCTGTCATTAATGTTAGAAGTCACGGCTTGTGTTGTGCAGTTCGGGTCCTGCATCTGTATAATTGCGTGTGTCCACCGTGACAGTATCCTACAGAACATGTTACCGCCCTAAAAGCTCCTTCCTTGGGTACCACGTATTCATTCCTCCCTCCCCTCACCTTCTTTTCACTGTGTGTATAATTTTGCCCTTTCCAGAATGGCCTGAACTGTGTGGGTTCACTTATACATGTATTTATTTCAATAAATACAGCATAGTACCAATAAAGATATTTTCTTACTATTTTCTCTGCTTACCGAATCATAAGAATACAGTTTATCACACACATAACATATAAAGCACGTGTTAATCAAGTTTATGTTACCAGTAAGGCTTCTGGTCAGCAGGACACTGTTAGTCGTTAATTTGGGGGGAGGGGTGTCAAAAGTTGTATGTGGACTTTGAGCTGTGGGGTCAGTGTCCCTAAGCTCTGCGTTGTTCAAAGGACTCATACAGTTGTTCAGTTGGAGTCATACAACCTGTGGCTTTTTTAGACGGGCCCGTTTCGATTTTTGTACAAAGAAGTGCTTGCTCATGCCCACTGCCAGGCTTTCTGTCACAATACTGTTCTTTGTTTTTCTTACTGACTTACACAGTAGACTTGAACATTTGTGTGTTTTTCCTGCTTGAATCACATTAGTAAGCATTTTCTTCCAAACGTCAGTGTTTTTGGCATTACTGAAAGAACTCAGAGCTGGCTATGTATCTTCATTACGTAGAAAACTTAACTTCATTTCAGCATTAACATTTAACTTTTTAATGTTTTCATTTTGATGAGTTGCATACTATACATTTTTAAAATTTCTCAAGGTGAGCATGTTTGCGAGGATAGGATTCCTAGTTTCAGAGTACCCTCCTCAGCCAGCACTGGTGCCATGGCTTTGTTCACAGTCAATGGTGGCAAGTGGGGAGGAATTTATGCTCTCATGCTTCCCTCTAGATTTTGTTTTCCTCTCCTGGCTCTGGAGGACGGCTGCAGTTGTTCTCCTTGGATAGGCCACATCATGGTGTGCTGACTTCCGAACTCTGGAGGCCTCGTGTGTCCGAGAATGTCCTTTCTCCTGGATGTTCAGGAGTCTGGCTCGGTGGGGCCCCGTGGACTACGGTCTTCTGGCCCCAGGAGGCTCTTGCTGTCTCTGTTGTTTGGGTCCCAGCAATGCAAGTGACGTCTGTGACACGCACAGGTGGCTGTGGCACACAGAGGCTCTTTTTTAGAGTCCCTTTGTGCTTGGATTTTTGTCTAGACTCCTCTGAGGTCTATTCTTTCTCAGTTTTTACTGGTGCAGTGCCAGTGCTTTACCTTTCCTTGTGAAAGGAATCTCAGAAGGGTAAAGAAAACCTGTCATCAATCACAACTACCACCACCCCCTCCTCCCGACCCCATGGCAGGGGAGGGAGCAGCACTGTCAAATTGAGACAGTCACAGAGTATCCTCACTCAACACATCTGATCTAGCTTCTGTGAAGATACGTAGCCAGCTCCGAGTTCTTGATTATGAAGCTATCTCTGGAATATTAATTATACTCAGTGTTCTTTTAAGACATCAAGGTTTGTTCTCTTTTGAAACACACCTAAATCCCTAAATATCTGCAGTTCTGGCTGGCTTCTTAATTCGTTAATCAGGTTTTCTGAAGCCCATTTTCTTTGAGTTTCAAATATTTGTAAAACTGCTTGCTTGAAGCTGGAGAAAGAACAATACAGTTTTCTCCTCCCTTTGCATGTGAGTGTGAACTTGCCAAGTGACTCACACCAATCAGTAAAGAGAAACTCAGTTTGGAACATTCACAATAATGCTGTTTTTAAGCAGCAACAGTGTGTGTATTTTATGTGCATCATAAACAACAAAAACTATCATTTAAAAAAAAATTTCCTAATGAAGCAGAAATGCAAGCACTAAAAAATACCCTTGCAAATTGTACATTTTGTGAAGTTTTGGGCTCCGATCTTCATCAGGGTGGCCACAGGCTTAGCTGGAGATGTCTGAATGAAGGGTGGGCAGAGCTCCTCAAAGACCTGCTCACTGTTGCTCTGCAAGACCATCTTCTGACAGGCCAGGCTGGGCCAGTTCTGCACACACATTGGTTTGGATTGGGCAGGGACCACTTTATAAAGTGCTCAGTGCCCCACCAGCAGCTGGTGCTCTGACCCCAGCACCTTTACCCTTCCCAGGCCAGCAGAACGTGGCCCCTGGATGTCCTCTCATCCCAGGGACCTTGGGAGAATAACAGGTTCCAGTGACCAGGCATCTCGGGAATCTTGCCAACAGGACACATTCTGTACTCTTCAATCGTCCCACATCAAGAAGCTTAGATTTCCAGTTGTCATGAAGAGTATATGGTCCTTTCCAATGGCCCCTGACCTTGACACGCCTTTCCCTTCACTGCCTTCTACACCACTCCTTCCTCAATGTTTTGTCAGAATCCTTGGGGCCTCTTTGTTAATAGCACGTTGACACTGCTTTATGATTTTTTCCTTGGTGGCCGCATAAGTTTGATACCTGCATTTCCTTTAGTTGCTTAAACTTCTGTGTCTTCTGATTAGTTTCTGTCATTATTTGGAAAGAGCAATAAGACGCATAACAGATAGTCAACAGTAATACATAGGTGTCATTGAGAAGTATGTATTATATCCAGAGAACTTTGCTGAGGGCTTTCCATGGATTAGCCCATTTGATGCGGGTACTATGTTATGTGAAAAGCCTTACTATTAGTTTTATCTTAGAGTTAGTGATACTGCAGGACGTTATAATGGCCAGTGTATTTGAGTGGAATAGTATTCAGAAGTCCCACATTTGGGATCCCTGGGTGGCTCAGCGGTTTAGCACTGCCTTCGGCCCAGGGCGTGATCCTGGGGTCCCAGGATTGAGTCCCACATCGGGCTCCCTGCATGGAGCCTGCTTCTCCCTCTGCCTGTGTCTCTGCCTCTCTTTCTCTCTGTGTCTCTCATAAATAAATAAATAAAATCTTTAAGAAAAAAGAAGAAGAAGACCCACATTTAAAGGTCTGGTTTGGGCAGCCTCTGGGTCTGTTATGAGCTGTTTGCCCTCTTCAGAACTGTGCTCCTGGCCCCCTGGAATGTGTAAATGGGAAGAAAGGGGATTCCGAATTCCCTGGCTGGGAATTAGGAACAGCTAAACCAAACAATTGCTGACAATTCATATGGCAGCCGTGGTCAGATCTGTGTATGCCTACCTTGCAATAAAATACACATTGGAACATTGGAATGTTCCTTGCCGAGCTTGCTCGTTGCTTAGTTGTGGCCAGTATAGCAGATCAGCTCCTGTAAGCTGTAGGAGGAACAGGTGTGAGCAGAACCAGCAGTTGAATTTCGGGCTGTGAGTTTGGATCTGGGACATGTGTGTGGAGTTTAGGAGCGAAGTCTGGGTGGGTGGTATACATTTGGGACATGCTGACATATAAATGGGAATTAAAGCCATGAGGTCCTGTAGGGTCACAGCAGGGTGCAGACAGGAAAGAGTAAAGGACCAAAAACAGCCATGGCCCTCTAACTTCAGGATGACATAGAGAACAGGGAAGCTCGTAAAGGAGACAGAAGGAGCAGCAGGAGAGGTCAGAGGGGAGCTAACATTGATAATATTATGGGAGCAGAAAGGGGGAGCAAAGTGCATCCTGCATTTCTATGAGTGCCGGTCAGACCTGTGCTTCTTGGGGCAGGAGCTGTATCTGGTGGCCTTTGGGTCCCCAGCAGCCAGGATTGTTCCGGGCTTATAGTGCAAGATGGTATTTTCTTTTTTGTGTATACTGAATGAACTTATCTTGGCATATTTCTGATATCTTTGTTTTCTTTCCACAATAAAGAAGGTATACAGTGTTTATAGTTAACTTCACCAGTGAGCTTGGAAAGCTCTCGTCCTCATATGCCTTCACCTTATCCAGTTCTGATCACGGTACTGTTACAGGGGCCAGTGTCATTCAAGGATGTAGCTGTGGACTTCACCCAGGAAGAATGGCAGCAGCTGGACCCTGAGCAGAAAACCACCTACCGGGATGTGATGCTGGAGAACTACAACCACCTTATCTCCGTGGGTAAGGACAGCCCACTTTCTCTATTGCTAAGATACACAGGATTTCCCTCGAATGTGCCGACTTTCACTTTGAATTTGATGGGACTGATGTGAGTGGCCTGTTCTGGGGACCAGGCAGGGCATTTTGGTCTCTACCTCCTCAGTGAAAGGTTCTAAGTGTGGTGCTGGTCATGAGGCAGCACCATCCTCAGATGACAGAGACCCAGCAGCCCTGCAGTCAGGCTCAAGTTCTCTTTCGTTTCTGTTAACAGGCTGTCACATTATCAAACCGGAAGTTATCATCAAGTTGGAGCAAGGAGAAGAGCCATGGATAGTAGGAGGAGAATTCCTACCACAGAGTTACCCAGGTGTGTTAGTGCAGGCAGTGCGGAGATTGGTGCTTTGGAAGGGTTTTCCCGGGGATTCTTCATGGCCCCAAAGCTGCAGAAGTGACTACACACAGTCATCTGTGTGCTCTGGCAGCCCGGGTCCCGCTCCCAGCACCTTCTTCCATATGAGAATCTGGGTTTGCAGAGCATTGCCATGTGTGCCCCTTCCCAGAGCCCTCACCAGTCACGTCCCCCTTCCCCCATGCCTCACGTCTCACTCGCTCTCACAGCATTTTCAGCCACCCGCTGTTGCGGGTTCTTTGTTTTCAGGTGTCCATAAATCTGTCATTGAAAAGTAACTAATGGGACTCTTCGGTTCTTGCCACGTTCCTTTTTATTTCCTCTTTTCTGTGAAATGCCTCACACTGGTTTCTGTCCCCAGTTTCACAGCTCACTATTCCGAGGGCAAATTCTCAACCCCATCCTGAGCCTGAGCCAGGAAGTTGTGTGGCACTATGCCTGGGTGCTGCTCATCCTCCCTGAGAACCAGGCCTTAAGTTTGGTGACAGCAATGTCTGGGTCTCCTGCCTGCCCCTCTTGTCTCTTACTGTTCTGTCCCAGCGCTCAACTAGCATCCTGTCCTCTGTGGCACTCAGTGTGGTATATAGGAGTTATGATTCCTTTTCCTGAAGGGTCTACTTCCCCCTTCAGTGGGTTCTGGTTCCTGAGTTCTTCAAAGTGCTCCTCCTACCTCTGTCCTTAGGGTTGTCATTTGACTGTCTGATGCTTTACCATCCCTGTCCCCCTTCCAATATCTCCTGTGGTAGTTGCTCAGGGCACTGGCAGGATGTGTTCTTTGGAGTTTCCAGGGGACCTTGTCACTGGCTGCCCAGGAGGAGCCTTCAGTGACTCCTTGCCACTTCTGGAGGGAGTGTTGATTCCTCCTCTTCCCTGTGCTGCCTGTGTTTTCACAGAACTCTTGCTAAACTCCATGGGGCCCTCACTCCTAAATGCCTTCTGTTCATGTGCTCATTGTCCCTGGAGCTTTACCTCAGAGGGGTGTGCTCTGTTGGCAGATAACAACACATCCTTCCAGACGGAACTCAGCATTTCCACCCCCTCCTCCACGTTTTCCCTCCTAGCTCTTATCATTATTCCAGTCGCTTCTTCTCCTAAGGTGACCACCTCATGGCCAGACCTTGAAAAAAGTTAAGTCTGATCAAGTAATCTGTTATTTGGTAGTACATATTTTTTGCTTGAGCTTCTTTCTTCCCTAGATTATATCCCATAAAGAGAAGGGCATGTTCCCCCTTGCCCCTTAGTATGTAATCTGTAGTCTGCATTTGAGTATCAGGAGCCAGGCAGGTGAAAGAACTTTCTAGTCCATCTATTGGAAAATAATTTATAAGCAATTCTAAATATGCATGCCTAAGTCACATCCCCATTTATTCTGCAGGTGACTGAAAGATACGCATGGGATTCAGGTTAAGAGCAACTGCTCTGATTTCTACTTAAGAGTTTAAAGGAAATATGGAATAGGATCATACTTTCTAAGAGACCGGATTTGCTTAAGAGAGTTGCATGGTGTAATTTAAAACTCAGCATTTCATGTGGAATGTTGATGATCTGATGCACAGCAGACAGTCATTGCATGGAGAGTAATTATTTTCAGTTTTAAGGGGAGATGACATTAATGAGGTGAGAAAGGAATTGAGACATTTATGTTTTTTTGTTTTTTTTTTAATATGGAGACTCCCTGAATGGTTTTGAGTATATCAGGGTGGAGGTCCAGTGAACTGAATAAAACAATAAGAGCAGAGCTGGGCGTTGTTGGCACCTCAGCAATCTTAGAAGAAGCTAATGGTGCCTGAGATAGTACTCCATCTCTCCCAAGTGATTATGAAGTGGTGTGGTGCCCAGTGTTGATCCCTCCTCCACACACACACCCAAGCCCCCTTGGGTATATCAGATGACACTCTTTGCCAAACAAATAGCTTGGTTTTTCTGGAGCAGAAGTTATTCTTTGTAGACTAGTATAAACCCAGTTTGGAATTCATACTGTAGATCTAGGTGGAAAGTATTCTTTGTCAGATGTTATCTTCCATTTATCCTTGGGAGGACACAATCAGTACAGTTTCATTTGATGTGGATGAAAGCAAGTATAGCAGTCAAGTTTGTCTAAAATCTTGTAAGATAAGTAAAAATAGCAATTTGGGGAATCTGATTTTTAAGGTTTGTAAGTGAAAATGAAACTAAATGAAAATCAGGAGTGGTGAAGTCTGTTCACAGTCAAAATTAAGTGACACCAGTGTGTCAGAGGCAAGACTAGTTTAAGGAAATTGCCAGGAGATTGAAAATGGGAAAAACAGTTGCTGCATTACTGAGCATATGTTTTGTGCCACATGCTGATCTGAGCACATTATGAATTGACGTAATCCAACAGCAACCATATAACTTAGGTACCATTGTCTCCATGTCACCTGTGGGTGATTCTGAGCCGCAGGTGACATAAGGACTCTCCCCAGGTCACCCAGCCAGAATACATGTCCAGATAGAAACAGGTAAAGTTTATAGTCTGAATGAGTTCAGTTTAAATCATAACATCAGTAGAGTATTTACAAAACCTTAAACTTCTGAAGAGCTGTTATGCTCTGGTCTATTTTATTCTTCCTGTTGGAGATACAGAGTTCCTGGGAATCTCCTCCCAAGTGACATAGAACCACAATTAGCTAGAGTCCTGGCCACACGGCTGCTACTCTAAACATGGGTTTGGGTAGAAGCTGATGTGGCCCTACTGTGTGGAATCTGGGCAAAATAGTTTGGAATGACCTAGGCCAGTGAGAATGTTGCCACAAAATCTCAGTAAAAGGTGATGGTGCCTGAGACTATAGTTGTTTTTTCCAACTTGCTGCAGAGCGGTATGGTGCCCAGTGCTGGTCCCCTCCTCCACACCTGATGCCTCTGAGGCGCCTGTGCACCACTCCTCCTTGGCAGTGCTCCTCGTCACCCTTCATTCACCCCGTTTGCTGCCTGTCAGCTATGCATCTACTGTCCTTCCTTTCCCTGTAACTGCTGTGTTTATATTTTACTGTTTGTATCCAGTTTTGAACAAAATCTTAAAAAGTAGCAAAGATCAAATGTGCTTGTGTTTTTCCCTTTTCCTTACCTCAGAAATATGTGTGTATGTGCACATGCGTGCGTGTTTATTATAAACCATAACAATAGGGGAAAGAGGTACACTTGCAGTGAGTCCATGGAGCTCACATTTACACCAAAATGAAATGCTTGCCTGTAAGTCACCTTCCATATCTTATGTAGGAAGATATATAAAATTATGTTAATTTTGCCTCTTTTTAGAAGAAGTCTGGAAAGCTGATGATCTGGTAGAAAGAGTCCAGGAAAATGAAGGGAAATATTCAAGGCAAGCTGTATCCTTCAACAGCAAAACCCTGATTGAAGAGAGAGGTAATGTTCTTGGTAAGACTTTTAATGTGGAAATGAACCCCATTCCTTCAAGAAAAATGTCCTATAAATGTGACTCGTGTGAAAAGAGTTTGAAATCTGTTTCTGAATATATTAGTAGTGATGGCAGCTATGCAAGCATAAAGCCTGATGAATGTAGTGCATGTGGGAAACCACTTCCCCATGTTAAACTTGAGAAAACTCATCCAGGAGATGAATCTTATGAATTTAATCAAAATGGGGAAGCTTATAGTCTAAATGAAGAAAGTATTTATCAGAACATTCATATTTTGGAGAAACCCTTTGAATATATTGAATGCCAGAAAGCCTTTCAAAAGGATACAGTTTTTGTTAATCATATGGAGGAGAAGCCCTATAAATGGAATGAATCTGAAATAGCCTTTCTGCAAATGTCCAACCTCAGCACACACCAGAGGTCTCATATGGAATTGAAGCCCTTTGAATGCAGTGCATGTGGGAAATCCTTCTGTAAAAAGTCAAAGTTTATCATACATCAGAGGACTCACACAGGAGAGAAACCTTATGAATGTAATCAGTGTGGGAAATCCTTCTGCCAGAAGGGGACCCTCACTGTCCATCAGCGCACACACACAGGGGAGAAACCCTATGAATGTAACGAATGTGGGAAAACCTTCTACCAGAAGTTACACCTCATTCAACATCAGAGAACTCACTCAGGAGAGAAGCCCTATGAATGTAGTTACTGTGGAAAATCCTTTTGTCAGAAGACGCACCTCACACAGCACCAGAGAACACATTCAGGAGAGAGACCTTATGTTTGTCATGACTGTGGAAAAACCTTCTCCCAGAAGTCCGCACTTAATGACCATCAGAAAATTCACACAGGTGTGAAGCTCTACAAGTGTAACGAATGTGGGAAGTGCTTCTGCCGCAAGTCTACTCTCACCACACATCAGAGGACACACACCGGAGAGAAGCCCTACGAATGTAATGAGTGTGGGAAATTCTTCTCGCGGTTATCCTATCTCACTGTACACTATAGGACTCATTCGGGAGAGAAGCCCTACGAATGTAATGAGTGTGGGAAAACCTTCTACCTGAATTCAGCCCTCATGAGACATCAGCGAGTGCACACCGGAGAGAAACCATACGAATGTACTGAGTGTGGAAAGCTCTTCTCTCAGCTCTCGTACCTCACTATACACCACAGAACTCATTCAGGAGTGAAACCCTACGAATGTAACGAGTGTGGGAAGACCTTTTACCAGAACTCAGCCCTTTGCAGACATCGGAGAATACATAAGGGAGAAAAGCCCTACGAATGTTATATATGTGGGAAGTTCTTCTCTCAGATGTCATACCTCACCATACACCATCGAATTCATTCAGGAGAGAAACCCTATGAATGTAATGAGTGTGGGAAAACCTTCTGCCAGAATTCAGCCCTTAACAGACATCAGAGGACACACACAGGAGAGAAAGCTTATGAGTGTTACGAGTGTGGGAAGTTCTTCTCTCAGATGTCCTATCTCACCATCCACCATCGGATCCATTCGGGAGAGAAGCCCTTTGAATGTAATGAATGTGGAAAAGCCTTCTCTCGGATGTCATACCTCACTGTACACTATAGGACTCATTCAGGAGAGAAGCCCTACGAATGTAACGAGTGTGGGAAAAAATTCTATCACAAATCAGCCTTCAATAGCCATCAGCGGATTCACAGGAGAGGGAATGTGAATGTACTGGATGTGGGGAGGCTTCTCTGAAGTCAGAGAACCTTTCCATGTGGTGAGTGGGCAGCTCCTGCTGACCCACATCAGAGCTTACACGGGTGATCTGCACAAGCCTTTGTGTTAGACTTGAAGCCTGAAAGTTCACAGGGTAGAAACCCCAACTGTACCAAGACCACAGGACTTGTTGGATAACAAACTATACAGGAGTAAAAATATATATGTATTTAGAATGTGTATGCACTTCACCGTGGACTCAAACTGTTTTACATATCAGGGAATTCATGCCAAGGGAAAAATCTCTCCATTTTAAGGAAGGTGGAAAATGTACTCCTTTGGAAATTACAAAATGTTATGCTTCTGATGTAGTATTAAGCTTCTTGAAAACAAAAATACAGAAGATAAAGATACTTATGTAAATAGAAGCTGTAAAACCACCTGATAGTAATCAAGACCACAGCATAGCAACCTTACACTCACATGGGAGTGCTTCCTGGGAATGTAGGACTTAACATTTTTGAGGGGTTTTCAGTTTCTTTGCTTGCTTTTTAGGATGCTACATGAAATGTATGTTCAGTTTGAATCATGTTTGAAAAGTCATTGTATCCTTATTAGAATAATTTGTAATACATGGTAAGGTAGCCCATTTTAAATAGCTCTACCATGTTAGGATCCTGATATTCACTGCCCCTGAACTAACATCTGATAGTATAAAGTATGCTGCTTCTTGTACTCTTGCCTGGAGTTCATAAATGTCTTTGTTGTTAATGAACTAAGTCTTCTGTGAAGAAGCCAATGTCTTTATAACATGTTCAACTGTATCTGAGTCAGCAAGAGTTAGAAATCTATGCATATGGTAGAAAAGCGCATAGATAATTTTAAGATGTTACTGCCAGACATTTCCAGTAGTCTAAGAAGCGCCTATAGTATTTACTGTACTCTATCAGTTACATTTACTTAAAATATTTAAGTACTTAAAATATTTCCATTTGTATCAGTTTTTTTTTCTCCATCTGTTGTTTTATTTGGATGCTTACATTAAGTGTGCAGAGCACACATACTATGTAACTTAGGAATTATCTGTATTTTTTTTTATAACGATAGTGTTTTTAAAAATTGTGCTCTATTCCTATGTAAATGAATGAAGAACTCTTCATATGGGTTTTTGGCAGACACTGTTGAGTGACCCTGGTTACTCACTCTTTATTGTTTGCTGGCGGAGTTTGGGTGTCCATTTCTCCTCGTGGAATGGGGGGAAATCCTGACAGGTTTCAGTTAATAATGATAATCCTTTTCTCATTGCCAGCAATTGGTTTAGAATGGTCACAGGACCCAGTTCTATGCAGATAAAGGAGATAGCTGACAGGTTATTTCTGAAAAGGTTCAAATAATGAATCGTGCAGAGTTAAGCAGAGTCTTCTGTTGAACATTGCCTTCATTGCATGTGATGCCTGGCTGTGTCTTTCAACAATGAATTATAATTTAAACATGGCAGAGCAGAAAGACTGGGAGGACTGGGACCTGAATGATGTTGAGCCACTGAACCAGCCAGCTGTGGCTCCTCTGCTTCTGGACTGTCCCTTCTGTAGGAGATGAAATTTACCTTGGAGCAGGTTGATTTAGGTTGCTCTGTTAGCAGATAGCTGAAGATACAAAGTTATACCTTTGTAGGAATTATGCAGTTGAGAAGTGGACTTTAGGTAAATCATTTATTTAGAAGTACTGATAGAGAGGTTGATCTAATTTTCTGTAAATTTTGATGTAAATAGTCGGGGCACTACCAATCAACTTGAAACAATTAAATGTGTATGTTTCCTTGAATGGTTACATCATTGACCTAAGAATCTTTAGAACCTGATAACAATGTCAGATATACCTTCCTTTTTACAATGCATGACATAAATTTTGTTTAGGTTAATTTCTTTTATTCATGGATCATTCTTCCACTGTTAATTCATAATATATGGTGTGGAGGTAAGGACGTTTGCTTTCCAGTGATTAGCCCCATAGCCTATATTTGAATAATTAACACCTGCCCACTGAGATGAAATGCCGTATTTTTCATGTATTCTGATCATTTGTGGCACCAGTTTTTGTTGCTCAGCACTTTCCCTCCATATCTTCTAGCTTATTGTGAGTATGCTATAGGAATGAAAAGTCTGGTAGATTGTATAGATTTGTGTAGGAAAATATACTCATAGTGTATTTGTTGAAATGATACCTATAAAGAGTTCGCACAGTAGTTTGTCATTATAGCTTAAATACACAGTATGCATTTTAAGTAAAATATTTTAAAAGTTTAAATGATTCACCACATTCTTTTTCTCTTACGGAGTGCCTGCACAGGAAAGGGCCTGGTGCACGGAATGGTCTTGAACTGCCTATCTGATGACGTAGTCATGTGATTAGTTTGTAGTTTCAAAGATGTCAGCAATTTCATTCTGTATCTCTGAAAGTGGAATCAGTGGCATGTTCTTCTATAGTGACATTTTTTTTCTTCTTCCCTAGAGGCACTTAAAATAATGGTTTGTCTTAAATTTGATGGAATGTAGTTTTTGAAAAGTTTTAACTGTTCCTGGCAAGAGTGTAAGATGCACACGCCTGAGTTCATGAAAGAGCACTAGCAGGATGTCAGGTCTCCTATCCTGCGCAAGGACTGAATGTGGAATTGGGGCAGAGCGGGAGCTTTTGTGCGTTATATATAGTCACCTTATAATTTGAAGTGTGAATGGATGATGAACTCTGAAAGGGGTTTTCAAGGGCTCAGCAGAAGGAACAGCTCTTCTGGCAGGTGGCCATGTGAGATTCCCCCAATTTTTTGTATCATCCTTGAGTCAGTGAAACAGTGGTTCATTCATACTTATCAAATAGGTCTAGTTGAAGCTATGGCGGTAACATCAAGGCCTTATCCTCTCAGAGATCCCAGAATCACCCTCTTTATTCCATGGCTGTGTGCCTGGCTGGCTGTCCAGTTAAGCTCCCCAAGCGAGGCTGTATAATCCATGTGACTACAGCCCAGATACTGCCCACTTTATAGAATGCCTGTAAATAAGCAAATTCCTTATCCTTTTCATCACAGAGGTGACTACATCACAGATAAATTGCTTTTCCCTTCCCTGAATTTAAAGTCTGTGATGTCTGCCAGACTGAACTGACATGGGCTACTGACTTGTTCCCAGAGCCCAACTTGGGCTGCCATGGAAGTAAGAGTGGTTTGCACATCCAGGAGACTACAGTGGAGAGGCTCCTGCATGAGGTGTGAGCAGGCAGACAGTGGTGAAGCAGGTGCTGGGGAACCTTGGGATTGAGATCTACACTCTGCTGCTCTTAATGTAGTGTCCCAAGCACCTTATTGCCCAGCACGGTGCCTTCATGAGACAGAAAGGATGCATCAGCTAGATGAGGAGTGGACACAACAGACACAGGCACAGTGCTGGCCTGGAGCATCCTCTTCTCACTCCACAGCCAGGTCATTACAGTAAGTGGGCACATTCTGTTTTGGATGGAGGAGAACCATTTGGTGATGATACCATGCCCTGAGAGCAGAGGATCCATCAGGAAGGGGGTGCCTCGTGGCTGGGGGTGGGCTTTTTCCTGTAATACATAGGTCTACTGAAGCCACCCTGAAGAACAGGAACTAGGGATTAGACCATCACCCTGTTAGTCATATCATCCGAGATTTGCAGATTCCCAAGTGAAAATTAATGCTAGAAAAAGCAAACCTATAAGTTTACTAAGAGCCGCACCATACATCTGCACAACTGGCAAGCTTAATGGAATGTAGAAATCCAGATTTCAAAAGAAGTGTATTGGTTATATGAAGCAAGAACAGTTACTCTAAAAGAGGTGGGGGACAGGGCATGGACACAGCCAAAAACCAGTTAGTGGATTGTGTGATAACAGCAAGTGGTTTGCCCACAATGCCAGGAAGAAGAGATGCATGTGATAAACAGACTCAGAACACAGTAGACATAATACCCGTATCCTGGAGTTCTTAAGATAGGATGGGAAGAAAATTATGAATTAAAAATTTCTCAAGTTAAAAAAGAATGAAATTAAAAAGAGCTTTTGTGTTGCCACATGGAAAGATACAGAAAAATCTCGGGCCTGTAAAGCAAAATGGTTTAACCTAAAGACTAATAACTAGAATACATGAGGATATCCAGCGAAGTAGCAAAAAGGCAGGGCTTGGAATCCTCCATCATTAGAAATAGGCAAGTTAAACCAGTAAAGTACCCCTTACACTGCTCAGAGTGGCAGAAACAATAGTGACATGAACGGTAATTGGTAATATCTGTATACTGTAGAAGTGCGTAAACTGGCCTGGAAATACCTTTTAAAATTCACATGTGTGCCTTCCCACACAGTGGCCCTACTAATACACTTTTCTATCCCAGAGGTACTCTGTACACACGTGGATGTATATACAGAATGATTTTGTCAACAAGGTTTTCGAGATAGCCTAGGTCACAGGAAGAGGTAAGTAAAACACGGATCAAGAAGTAGAGTGCTATCCAGCAGTTAGGAGTATATGCCATATCTGGATGTAGCACATTTGATAAAAGATAGACATGAATTTTTAAAAATGGAATGAGATTTCCTTACACAGGCTGCTGTGGAATGTGCTCAAGGTCATACAGACTAGTGTGAATGGAAAGAGAATGGAATCAGGGTTTGGAATGAAGAATCAGGTAAAGAATGGTTTCCATGCAGAAGCCAATATTGAAAATCAATGTTTTAAATTGAATGTTATGATGAACACTATTCCCCAAGACTCCAGAAACATTAAAACACACAAAAATTAAAGGACCAGAGAAATCAAAATCCTCAGTGTTATATGCTGTTAAGTTTCAGCCAGAGTTTCGCAGCCTAGGTGCCTAATTGATGTCTGTGTCCTTTTTAGCAACTTCACCCTAAGGCAACTTCCAGTAAAATGGTCGTAGTTGCTCCATTTGTTGGTCATTCTGCACTTTAATTTAAAACATCCTTTTAAACATTCTTCCTGGGATGAGGGAGTGCCCACCCTGAAGTTATCTGCATCACGTCATAGGACTCATTTAGTGGGACAACCTGTGCTGCTCAGGACTCCACAGTGTCCACCTTCCTTCCCTCTGTGAGAGATCCCCCTTGCGTCTAGTTTCAGCCAGGCACACCACTGCAGATCTGATTTCCCAGCTAGCTGAGGCCAGGGACTGAATTTAGGTCGAGGGGGTGTGAGTGGGGTAATTTGTCATCTTCTGAGTCCTAAAAGAGAACTGTCCTTTCCCACTGCCTTGTACTCCCTTCCTTGGCTGTGACAGAACCATGGTGCTGAGCCACCTTCTACCCTGAGAACAAGGAGAACACCTGAGGGCAGGATTTGGCTGACATGCCAGGTGAGAACACTTCAGGCTTGTGGGAACAGCCCTGCCTCTGTAGTGAATGTACCTGTCCCAATAAACCTTTATGGGACACAAAGTTCCAATTTCATTGAATTTCACATCACATAAAATATTATTTTGATCTATTATTGTGATTATTACATTACTTACAAATGTAAAGCCCATTCTTCGTTTACAGGCTGTGCCAAAGAGGCAGCACTCCAAATGTGGCCCATGAATTCTCTGTACTTTAGTGACTCCTCTCTAGGGAATGGGAAAGTACCAGGATTAAGAGGACTCTATTCTCTGGAGAACAACCTGGAATGGGGCTATCCTACCTCCCTGGACCACCTGTTAGTTTGGGATTGTATGTGAGATAGCAATTGTCTATCTTGGCAGCTAATCCAACACTAATACAGAATTAGCCAACAAAAATGAACTACTGTCACTTCTAAACTGTGACAAATGTGTTCCTCTCAAACCTAGTGGTACATACACGACTAGGAGAAAGTCATGGGAAGAAAGCAGAGTTAAGGGCAGCCCACTCAAAACCTTTATAATACAATTCTAGCAGAATCAGCGGTAATCCTAATAAAATATGCCGTATTTTTATCTTTAGAAAAATGCGTGCTCAGATCTTTATTTCTAAATATTACTCTTCCCCAAATGGAACCAAAGCTCTTTAACCAAGGCTGATCAGGAAACTAAAAGCATAGAACATTTACTTGTAAAAGGGAAGTGCTCAAGAATTGATGGGTGTGGCAGACGAGGGAAATGGAGGGCTCTATCCTCCCACCCCGCAGGAACAACTACTGAGCTGGCAACCTCTGCCAAACTCTAGAATCTAGTCCAAAACTCAAAACCACTAGGGGAGACTTGATGAGAGGGGGGGCAGCTGTGCAGCCAGAGCTGGGACTTTAAATAGCCCACCTGCCATCCCCCACACCTCCAATCAGCTGCCACATGGTAATAGCCTGCAGTCCCAAGTCCTGAGGCCAGGGGGCGAGTTACAGACCTCAAACAGTTTCAGGGTGGGTTTCACCTGCTGCACCACCATCTGTAGGAGGGCTGCATGGGCTTTCCCATGTTTCCTGGACTCAGTCACAGGTCTGGGCAGCTTCCCAGATGGTTTGTGCTGCAAGCATGGAAAGGCACAAATCCTGGCTGTAGCAAGCTGGGGCAAGGAATGACCATCCTTGGTCATTTTTTCCTCTTTTTCTTCCCCTTCCTATCTCTTTTTTAAATTCTTTTTTCAGCTCCAGCTGGCAAAACACACCTAACCCTTGGGTTGATGGAACAAAATTTAGTGCCTGCACAATACATAACTACTGAAACAAAAAAGTCAAAAAGCACATAAAAAGAACTGACAAAACAACAAAAACTCTGGGAGAGGGTGAGAATCTGGTTTCCAGAGTTGCCATATTATAACATTAAACAGTCTAGGTTTCAGCAAATAATAAGAGATGTAAAGGAACTAGAAGGTCTGCTCCTGTCACAGGAAAGGGAACCCGACCTCTGTCGCCACGAATCCCTCGTCTCTGGTCACTGGGGATTGGTCCCAGCCAGGTAGGTCAGGAGTGTGCCACTCTTGGTGGGTGATGATTGGATCTAAACACAAAATCCCAGAGGCTTTGGAGAGGAGCCTGGTAAGTCCACTCTGGAGACTGTCTCTAAGAACTAATGTGGGAAAAGCCAAGAAAGATTCAAAAAATAGAATGAAGAGACATGTGCTTTTCAATACATGGAAAAACATAGTAAAGCAACAGTAATTGAAAACATCTTGTTCAGCATGATTAGAAAATAAGGGGGGATCTGGGTGGCTCAGTGGTTGAGCATCCTGCCTTTGGCTCAGGTTGAGATCATGGGGTCTGGGGATCAAATCCCACATCAGGCTTCCTGCATGGAGCCTGCTTCTCCCTCGGCCTATGTCTCTGCCTCTTTCTTTGTGTCTCTCATGAATAAATAAATAAATAAAATATTTATTTTAAAAATCCTCTAGGGGTCCCCAGGGGGTATCTTTTTAAAAAGAAAAAGAAAATAAGTCAGTAAAAGAGAAAACATCCCTAGAATCAGTATTTCCAAGCTGCGAGTCAGGACTGCCTGCAAACAGGAGAAAACCCAAGACAACCAAGCTGCTGGCAGCTTTGACATTCAAACCAGCAACCGTTGGGCTACGTGTCTACCAAAAGCCCTAGGAGGAGCTCCCCTGGACCCCCACTGGCCTCAGATTAAGTGTCCATCCCAGGAACAGCTAAACTGGGCCCGAAGGGTGGGTCCTGTGACTGGCCCACCAGGGAATTTGCCAGCTCTGTAGTATCAGCTTCCCTTTCTGGAAGAATGTGGAGACGAGCGCTTAACAGACAAAAAGGAAAGCAAATGATAATTTAGTCTGTGATAAAGATAGTATTTCAAGTCGGGGACAAAAAGATTAATTCAGTGGCGTAAGGACAGCTAACACTTCATTAAAATAAAAATCAGGGATCCCTGGGTGGCACAGCAGTTTAGCGCCTGCCTTTGGCCCAGGACGCGATCCTGGAGACCCGGGTTCGAATCCCACGTTGGGCTCCCGGTGCATGGAGCCTGCTTCTCCCTCTGCCTCTCTCTCTCTCTCTCTCTCTCTCTCTCTCTCTCTCTCTCTCTCTCTCGTGTGTGTGTGACTATCATAAATAAATAAAAATTAAAAAAAATAAAAATCAGTCACATCAAGAAAAAAGTGGGAAAAGATCAATGAATGAACCAATTTTTAAAACTCAACTCATATTGGGACGCCTGGGTGGGTCAGCAGTTGAGCATCTGCCTTTGGCTCAGGGCATGATCCTGGGGTCTGAGATCAAGTCCCACATCGAGCTTCTTGCGGGGCGGGGGGGAGTCTGCTTCTCCCTCTGCCTATGTCTCTGTGTCTCTCATGAATAACTAAATCTTCTTTTAAAAAAGTCATCTCACATAAAGAATAATACTTAACTGGGTTGTAAAAAGAAATTTCCTGTGCCCTGCTTCTTTCAAACCAGAAATAACATGATTTCATCATGGCATGGAAATTCACAGGGCAGAAAGCAGTCACTGAATCATTTTCTCAAATCATTCTTGCTCCCAAATTCCTGTATCTAACACTTCCAAATTACAGAATTAAAAAATAATGCATACCTCTGTATACATTAGGATGCCTCATAGCTCCAAGTAATCAAAAAAACCTCAACTCCAACAGGCGTAAACTAAAAAATCTAATAATGACCTGTCTTCCTGGTACACAGCAGCTTCTGAGCTGGTGAATCCACCAATTAGTGTCCCTGCTCGTGGTCCTGCCCTCCCTCAGCTCACTATCCTATCAGCCCTGAGTCACAAGATGCAATCAATGGGGATCCAGATGGACAATGCCATTCTGTTCCTGATTCTTTATTGATGACAAAACCTTGCCCCAAAACCACCTGCATACTTCAGTTTCTGGTCCTTCTTCCAGTCCCAAACACCTCGTGGTTAGGGAGGATAAGCAGGCCACATCAAGGAGGAAGGGGATGGGAGCTGCCAACCCGCTATAAGCAACCTGTCTGCAGCAGGAAGCAAGGATCAGGGCAGTCTCTGACAATGTGCCTGTGCACATGGCTGCTGGGTTCCTCACACGCGGCCTGCACCACGTGCCTCTGCACCCTCACCAATCCCAACGGGAGTTGGAAAGAGAAGGGTGTTTTCTATACACAACTCTATTTTAAGCGCTTGCTAACAGCTAGACCCTGCCTCTGCACTTTATGAATGTGTGTTCATTAAACCAGGCAAGCCCAAGACACTTTTTTTTAAGGCATTTGGCTTTATTGAAGAGCAGATCAGTAACAACAGTCATCGCTAGTCCCAAAAAAACACAGAGAATAGGTGAGGTGCTTTTGTTGAACAGTTGTCAGAGCTGTTAGGAAAGGGTGAATACCCATGTGCTGACAACCGTGCTCAACACTTGCTCAAATTTTGTTTTCCTATTTTTTTGCTTCATTTAATTGTGCACACGTTCTTTTCCCAAACCACTTCACAGCTGCAGATGTGACAGTTCACCTGTTCTGCACAGTGTCCTAGAAACTCACATTCATAACCATTATCACACTGAAGACAATTACTCTAATTCCCTAATATTTTCCAATACCCATTCCACATTTAAATTCCTCCAAATAGGGATCCCTGGGTGGCACAGCGGTTTAGCGCCTGCCTTTGGCCCCGGGCGTGATCCTGGAGACCCGGGATCGAGTACCACGTCGGGCTCCCAGTGCATGGAGCCTGCTTCTCCCTCTGCCTGTGTCTCTGCCCCTCTCTCTCTCTCTCTCTCTCTCTATCATAAATAAAAAAATAAAATAAAAAATTCTTCCAAATGCCTCCAAAGTACCTACATGGTGTCTTTCTGAGCTGGATGTTTTTTGGATCCAATCAAGGATCATGCACTGCATCTGATTATGTCTTGTTAATATCAGGATTGAAAGAGTCCCGCTGGCCTTTTCCCTCTTTTTAAAATGACACTAATTGGGCAGCCTGGGTGGCTCAGCAGTTTAGCGCCCCCTTCAGCCCAGGGCATGATCCTGGAGACCCGGGATCGAGAACCATGTCAGACTCCCTGCTTGGAGGCTGCTTCTCCCTCTGCCTCTCTCTCTCTCTCTCATGAATAAATAAATAAAATCTTTAAAAAAATGAGACTAACTTCTGACGAGACCAGGCCAACTGTCTTGGTGGATGCCCCACATTCTGGATTTGATTGTTTTCTCCACTGAAGCTGTTCCCCTCTTCCTCTCTCTCTTGTATTTTCTGTGAACTAAAAGACTAAACACTAAACTCCCATGAAATACTCTGGCAAGAGCATGCTACAGTGCAACGCATAGACCTCACGCAAGAGGCACACGATGTCACCACTGTTGAGACTGCTGCATTTTATCACTGGTGAAAGTGGGGCAGTCATTCCATTGTGAAGGTGTACATTTTCCAGGGTCAGTGAGGGAGATATCTGTGGGAGAGTCTCTGGCATTGCACAAATACTCTTTCCTTTGCATTTAATGATCCTGGCATCCACTGACAATCTTTGCCTAGGTGTCCTAGGGGTTAGCAATTTTTAAAATTCTAACATTCCTTATACATTTATTAGCTGACACTTCTATAACAGTCAGCCTTCCTGAAACTGCTCCTACTAAAAAGGCAGGGTGAAAATTCTTTCCTTCTAATTACAGAATAAGAAGCTTGTGTTAAGACTCGCCTCCAACAGCAGAAATAAGCCCAAGCCCCTTTCTCTTTTTCTTCATTGATGTGGACACATTTTTTTAAATTCAAATGTTGAGCCAATTACAGTAGGTCTGTCTGACCATCAGAGTATCAAATTTGGCCAGGGAGAAACCCCCCAAGGTAGCTTCTGGGACCTTTGACCTTAATCTTTGAGTATGTCTTGCTTTTTTGACACAAGAGGTCCCAGCCTCACCCTGGATACTTCAGGACCCAGAGCTAGAGGCAGCTGTTTTTCCAAGGACTCCTGGTTCCTCGAGGGACATGCTGGCGCCAAATCTCATCTACAGGGGGTGCAACTGCTTTCAGGCCCTCAGTGGACAGAGCTAAGACATATATACACTTTTAAAAATGACTGATACTTTCAGTTCATATATCTTATTATGCAGAGTTTTATGTAAGTTCTTTCATTTTTATGGTCATGTTTTCTCTTAAACTGGAAGTTTGGTTCCTGGTTAACTTTAACAGTTTATTTTGCTTTATCTTACAATATACACAAACTAGATCCAAAGTAACACCAGTATTACTAACAAAAAATTAATGAGTGGTGTTCATAATTTTTTGCAGATCTTTGTTCTTAAACATACCCTGTTAAGGACATATAGTCATAATTCTGTGTTCAAAAGTTTCTCATAACAATTATTTTCTCTGTTTAGCTACCAATTTGATACAAAGTTGATGTGTTTTCAATTTCAGAATGATTTATTTTTCTATCTTGGAACAAATAAATAATTTACATTTGTTCAAAAGTCAAACTTTCATTAAAAGGTATGACCAAAGAAATCTTGCTTCCATCCCTGACTCCACCATGTTTGCTCCTGCCTCCATAGGAACTCATTTTTATTAGTTTGTAGTTTATCCTTCTAGTATTTCTCTTTACAAAAAATAAGCAATTGTGTGTATGTGTATATTACTTCCTCTCAACTCTTACATAGAAAGTAGCATGCCCTATGGTGGTGTGTATTTTGCCTTTCTTCTTAACAGTATGTTGGGATATAGTATTTCAATTTGTTAAACATGTCACTCATAATGCATACTGTACTACACACATACAAACATACACTGGGGGCATTTAATGTGAAATCTGTCATGATAATTATTAAGCTATGGGAAGATATTTCCTACGGACACCCATTTCAATACCCGCTATGGAAGGCAAACGTACAAGACATATGTATGCTATGTACAACATACCAAAGCCTTGATTACTCAGGTGTACCTGAGGCATCTGGTGCTGTCAAGTAGCCACTGCCACCATACTCTTCCAAAGGCCTCATATTCCCACAATAAGCATCATTAGCATCAGACACATCTTATACCAATCTTCAAAATCTGGTACCACATCAGAATCATGACTTCTAGTGTTACATTATTTCTAGAGAAAACAATATATCCACATTTCCAAACTGATAGATTTCCCCTCAATATTAATACTTTTCTTATACAGAGTTTGATCTTTTTCCCTCAACACTGTTCATGCATGTAAAACCTTTATTTAGTTCCACTCCAGTATCAATTACCTGATGATCAGTAAGTTGTGACTCTGTAAATCCCTTTATACTTTTGTTGCATTCTTACTGATTTTAGCCCTCTGGCTGATTCCTCTGAGACATATATTAGATTCATAGGTAGACACTAACATACAGGACATTCTCAGGGCTCTCTCTCCATGCAAGTTCTCCGATATTTAGTAATGTATCCAATATCCATTCCAGAGAGAGTCCACCAACTCCCACACCATGTGTGTCTTCTGATTGCAATTAAAGACTAAATCCCCACAGTAAGAGTTCTCCACCTGATTACAGTCTTGAGATTTCTTCCCGTGGGTTCTCAAGTTCACAAAACTTGACTTCACACATGAGGGTTTTCCACATTTCCTGCACCTTAGGGTATCTCTCTTATGTGAATTACCTGATGTTTTGTGAGAGTCGACTTCTTGCAGAAGGACTTCCCACATTCGTTACATTCATAGGGCTTCTCCCCAGTATGTGTGCGCTGATGAACTGTGAGGGTCGACTTCATACAGAAGGATTTCCCACATCGCTTACATTCATAGGGCTTCTCCCCTGTGTGAGTTCTCTGGTGATTAATGAGGTTTGACTTCACATAAAAAGTTTTCCCACATTCCTTACATTCAAAAGGGTTCTTCCCTGTGTGAGTTCTCTGATGTACAGTGAGGTGGGATTTCATACAGAAAGATTTCTCACATTCATTGCATTTATATGGTTTCTCTTCCGTGTGAGTTCTCTGATGTATGGTTAAGGCTGACTTATAACAGAATGATTTCCCACATTTGATACATTCATGGGGCTTCTCCCCAGTGTGTGTTCTCTGGTGTTCAATGAGGTGGGACTTCTGGAAGAAGGTTTTTTTACATTCCTTACATTCATAGGGTTTCTCCCCTGTGTGTGTGCGCTGATGTTTAGTGAGGTGTGACTTCTGGAAGAAGGTTTTCCCACATTCTTTACATTCATAAGGTTTTTCCCCTGTGTGTATTCTCTGGTGTTGACTGAGGGCTGACTTCATATAGAAGGATTTCCCACATTCATTACATTTATAGGGTTTCTCCCCTGTGTGAGTTCTCTGGTGTACGGTTAAAGTTGACTTATGGCGGAAGGTCTTCTGACATTCATTACATTCATAGGGTTTCTCTTCTGAATGTGTCCTCTGATGATCAGTGAGATTAGACTTCATAGAAAAGGCTTTCCCACATTCACTACATACATGGGGTTTCTTTCCTGTGTGATTTCTCTGGTGAATATTAAGAAGTGACTTCACATAGAATGATTTTTCACACTCATTACATTTAAAGGGTTTCTCTCCAGTGTGAGTTCTCTGGTGTATGATCAGGGTGGATTTCATATGGAAGGCCTTCCCACATTCATTACATTCATGTGGTTTATCCCCTGTGTGAGTTTTCTGATGTTTAGTGAGGGCTGATTTTTTATAGAAGGACTTCTCACATTCATTGCATCCATAGGGTTTCTCCCCCGTGTGAGTTCTCTGATGTACTATTAGGATCGAACTCATAGAGAAGGCTTTGCCACACTCATTACATTCATAAGGTTTCAAACCAGTGTGAATTTTCTGATGTTTAGTAAGGTTTGACTTCACACAGAAGGTTTTCCCACATTCATTACAGTCATAGGGTTTTTTCCCAGTGTGAGATACTTGATGGATAATTAGGGCTGACTTATAGCAGAAGGATTTCCCACAATCAGTGCATTTATAGGGTTTCTCTTCTGCATGCTTCCCCTGATGTACATGCAGAGCTGACTTATAGTAGAAAGACTTCCCGCACTCATTACATCCATAGGGTCTCTCCCCTGTGTGTGTTCTCTGATGGTCAGCAAACTGTGACTTCTGTAAGAAAGTTTTTCCACACTCATTACATTTGAAAGGTTTCTCCCCTGTATGTGTTTTCTGATGTTTAGTTAAGTTCGATTTTACACAGAAGGATTTCCCACATTCCTTACATTCATATGGTTTCTCCCCTGTGTGAGTCCTCTGATGGACTTTGAGGGCTGAGCTATGACGAAAAGACTTCTTGCATTCATTACACACATAAAGCTTCCCTTCTGACCATGCCCTCTGTTGATCAGAAAGAGCTGACTGCACAGGGGCTTCACTGCATTCACTGGGTTTCTCTCCTGCATGAGATCTTGGAGGGTCTGTGGGTTGTGATTTCTGAAGGGTTTTTCCAGATTTATTACTTCCACAGGGTTTCTCTCTTATGTGTGTCTTCTGATGCTGAGTCAGGTGGGACTCCTGGTAAAAAGATTTCCTGCAGTAACTACATTCAAAGGTTTTCTCTCCTCTGTGAGTTTCAGAAGGTGGAGTGAGATAGGACTTATTCTCATTTTCATTAGATTCCAAATTAACTGTCTGATGTTTTAAGAGGGTTGACTTCAGGCACTCAGTGACCTCACAATGATTCTTACTTGTGTGAACTTCCTGAAGAACTTCCAGGGCTGACTCATCACTGGTACTTCCCCCCAGTTCCTTATAATCACAGGATTTGTCTTCTGTTTGAGTCCTTGGAGGTGTAACGATGGCTGCCTTATTACGGGAGGTTTCTCTACATTCATCGCATTCAAAAAGTGGTCCCAAAGTCTGAATTTTCTGCTGCTCAGTACAGTCCTTATTACAGCTTGGGGATTTCTCATCTTGGTTATATTCATCAGGTTTCTTTCCAGTGTGAGTGTCTCCTTGGTTATTATCAGAAAGCAACCTCCCACATGCATTAATTTCATGAGAGTTCTTACTTGAATAATTTTTATCACTAATAATTGATTCTGAAACATTTTTCAAACTTTTTCCACATGAGTCATCTTGATGGGGTATTTCTCTGAAAACGTTATCTTTCTTCTTAGTCAGTGACTTTTTGTTGATGAGTAAAACTCGCCACAAATGTTCATTTTGGTCTTCCTCACTCCTGTCTGTAAGGTCATAAGAAAAATGAAGTGTACTTTAAAAATGTTAATACATTTCCTATGATTACCAAGACCAAGATAACTAAAATGTCTATCACCTTACTTAGTTAACAAAGTTAAATTGTGTGTGGTTAGAAAGATCAACATCTACTCTCAACAACTTTCCACTGTGCTTACTGTACTATTAGCTATAGACCCTTTGCTGTGCATCACATCCCCAGAACTTGAAGTCATGTTTAAGACAAAAAAAAAAAAAAATCAAGCTGATCTCAGACATCTGTAATAGAATTCAGTGCTAAAAGCACTGGAGAAAGAATTACAAATCCTTAAGGATTAGAAGTAAATCTCAGTAATTTTATATGTAGACAAAATGGCACTCAGATGAAGTAACACCAGTGAGTCTGAGTATCCAAAAATGCAGGGAAATATTGTTTTTATGAATTCTTAAAATGAACTTCAGTCAAGAAATGGTAAAATGTGGGATCCCTGGGTGGCGCAGCGGTTTGGCGCCTGCCTTTGGCCCAGGGCGCGATCCTGGAGACCCGGGATCGAATCCCACATCGGGCTCCCGGTGCATGGAGCCTGCTTCTCCCTCTGCCTGTGTCTCTGCCTCTCTCTCTCTCTCTGTGACTATCATAAAATAAAAAAAAAAATTAAATTAAAAAAAAAGAAATGGTAAAATGTAATACAGAATGTAATACTGTTTTTGAAGACTGATTTAACAAACCTACCAAGCTGGCTATCAGAATAGACTGGCTATCAAAATAGAATTAAAATATAAAGGACTTCAGATTTTAGAATTATTAGATGTTAAATTTTAAACTTCCTCCAAATCACTCCTCCCCAATCTCCCATCTCAGTAAACACCACCTACCCTCATCATCATGTTGTTCCGATTAAACCCTTGCAAACTCCCTCTCTCACAGGCCACTTCTGACTCAGCCGCAAATCCTCCTCTCTGCATAATGCAGGCCAACCTCCTCACCTGCACCAGCTTGTAACTCTAAGTCCCCATCATTTCTCATCTGAACCACTGCAAACATGTCTGCTCCGCTGAGAGCTGAAACCATCCACACCCACACAGCCTACTCACTATCTGTGTTAACTTGATTAGTATTCTGTTTTCATAACAAGACTTTACTACTCCAGGAAACCTGCCCAGGAAGCTAAAAGTTGCAAGTAAGTTTACTGTTCAGTTCAGAATCTTCCCCAAAAATCTTTTAAATTAATTGTTCAACTTTCCAGTAAATAATAAACTTATTCTCCAGGACTCTTCAATCCTTGTTGTGTCCACACATCCTAAACTATTAGGTTATGGTCCTTACTCAATAGTTCTCAAGCTCCTGTGTTACAAATATACCTGAAACCATGCCCTCAAATCCTATAAATAACCTGACTTTGTTCACTTTCCTCCAAGGCGGTATGAAACTGTCAGTGTGAGCAATCAATTCAAATCTGCCATAACAGCAGGTGATTCTGGTGGTCCTCTGAGGGAGCCAGCTCTGTATCCTGTCTCTGCTTCTACCTTCATCAACTACCCTCATGCCCATCTCTGATTTTCTTTGGACGGTAGCCAGAGAAATTCTTTTAAAACATTCTTCTGTGGAAATCCATGAACAGTTGTCCGCCTCACCTAAATCAGAATCAAAGCCTTACCTTGCCCTGTAGGATATTAGAGGGCAAGATATAGGGGCTCTGGCTATGACCCTGAAGTCATCTCCTACCAACGTCCCTCTCAAATGCATCCCTATAGCCATAATGGCCCGCTGCTATTTCAGCAAACACCTGCCACAAGAGCATGGCCCAGCTGTTCCTTCTACCTGGAATCCCCAGAATCCTGCTACCTGCTCTAATGCACACCTCATCAAAAATGCATTCTCTGACCACCTTTTAAAAGAGTACATCCCACTCTCTCTCCTTTTAGCCTGCTTTAATTCTCTTCAGGGGTCTTGTCACCACTTGATTAGTAAATTTTCTCATTTTCATCTATGTTATCCTACTATCTTGTAAGCTCTAGGAGCTCGGGAACATTGTTATGTTCACTGGCATATCTCCAACACCAAGAATACAAGTGGCAAGTAGGAGGCAGAAAATGGCAGCACTGGTATTTGCAAGTGACACTGTGGGGGCAATTTAGGTGATCAGGGGGCCTGTTAGCTTGCTGTTCAGTCACATCCGAAAGTCTGAGGGACCAAAACTGAACTACAGAAACACACACCAACCTCAAAACCAAGCCATCTGGGACCTGATTTCTGTGGGCTTCTTTCTTCCTCCACAATAACTAACTCACCTTGATCACCCTGGTCTGGGAATTCTCCCTCTAATGGCCACAGGTCTTCTCCTTGCTCCAGCCTGAAGATCACTTCTGGTTTGGTGAGGTGACACCCTGTGAGTGGGATATAGGGTAAAACTTGTCACAAGTGGCATGGATATCAGGGCCCCTGGAGGATGAGGAAGGTGCAGCTGCAGGAGCTACATGATAAAGGTGCTCGTTTGCACCTTTCATCAGGGAGGCAAGAACACAATATTGTTTCTGTGCCAAATGAGAACATCTTTGACCCATGAGATGTACACACAGTATCATTAAACACTCCAATAGCCCACAGATTCTGGCAGCTATGAAAGAAGAAAAGAAACACATGGTAACACCCCTCACCCACGGAGACCAGGTGGCTGTAGTTCTCCAGCATCACATCCCGGTACAGTGTCCTCTGTGTGCCTGTCAGTTGTAGCCACTCGTCCCGGGTAAACTCCACAGTCACGTCCCTGAATGACACGGATCCCTGACCAGCACATTTCTGTTCAAGCCAAAGAGATCAATATTGGGTGACATGAAACAGACATAAGGGACATAAGTCTTGGGATCCCTGGGTGGCGCAGCGGTTTGGCGCCTGCCTTAGGCCCAGGGCGCGATCCTGGAGACCCGGGATTGAATCCCACGTCGGGCTCCCGGTGCATGGAGCCTGCTTCTCCCTCTGCCTGTGTCTCTGCCTCTCTCTCTCTCTGTGACTATCATAAATAAATAAAAAAATTAAAAAAAAAGGGACATAAGTCTTAACATGTTTGAGAGTTTACCATAAAATAGTACAGCCAATTCTATACCTTCCCTTCTTTATACCCTGTAGGATAAAGTGATATGATGGGAAAACCCAGTATTAACTTAATTCAAACAAAAAAACTAAAGTTCCTCCTGTGTTTCTGAAATTGTCCTAGCCTGCCAAGATTAAGCTAAACCAATCCTGTTTTTTGAGACAGAGAGAGAGCACACGTGCACGCATGTGCAAGTGGAGAGAGGAGCAGAGGGCAAAGGAGAGAACCAGACTCTCCACTGAGCACAGAGCCTGACAGGGGGCTTGATCTCAGGCCCCTGAGATCATGACCTGAGCCAAAATCAGAAGTCAGATGCTCAACTGACTGAGCCACCCAGGTGCCCCAGGAGCTTAAGTCTTAATAAGGAGACAAATCATATTTTGGAACATTTATCCTATAATAAGGTATCATAAGAACTGTGCTAGAGTCATTTACAATTAGTATCAAATAATGGTAGAAAATACGGTTCTTTTGTGTTGTCAGGTTGGGCTTCAGAACATAGCAGGAGATTTTCACTGATGTGGCACCACTACATAAGCAGAGCCAAGGAGCCATGAGAAGCACTCAGAAGTGACAGGAGAATGGTATGTAGGACTGTAAGAAGATAAAGATCTGCACAGGTGTCCAAAGAGACATTACAGAACAAGTCTGGGTTTATTCCTATACTTTAATGACTCCAAAATAGTTCACCCCATCCTAGCGATAAGTTTTGGGTACCTCCAATTTATTTATTTATTTTTAAGATTTTATTTATTTATTCATGAGAGACACAGAGAAAAACAGAGAGGCACAGACACTGGCAGAGGGAGAAGCAGGCTCCATGCAGGGAGCCCGACGTGAGACTCAATCCCGGGGCCCCATGATCACACCCTGGGCTGAAGGCAGCACTAAACCACTGAGCCACCCAGGCTGCCCCAATTTACTTATTTCTTGATAGATAATATATACATTCTGCTAATTCACATAATAATGATAAGCTTAATTTATCTTTTTTTTTTCCCCCTGGCTAAAAGTTAAGTATAGACAACCTACTGTTTCCTTTACAATGGAGCATCCTGGGCCCTCTGCAGGTGGCAGGTATGACACTGAAGATAATGAGGAGCCAGCGAGGACATGAAAGCAATCGCTGTTACAGCTCTCAAATCAACAACCTAACTTTATAACTTGAGGAATCAGAAAAAGAAGAAATTAAACCCAAACCCAGCCGAAGGAAAGAAATAATAAAAATAGAAATAAACAAAAATAAACAAAAAAGAAAAACAATGGATAAAATGAAAACAAAAGACAGTTTTTTGAAGAGATGAACAAAACAGACAAGCTTTTACTTAAATGGACTAAGGGCAACAAGAAGATTCAAATTACTAAAATCAGAAATGAAAATAAGGACATTTCTACCAGTTCTGTTGAAATAAAAAGGTTTATAAGAGAGTACTATGAACAACTGTATGCCGACAAACTGGATAACCAAGAGGAAATGGACAAAATCCTAGAAACACAAAACCCAGTCAACCCTAAATCAGAAGAGGGATCCCTGGGTGGTGCAGCGGTTTAGCGCCTGCCTTTGGCCCAGGGCGCGATCCTGGAGACCCGGGATCGAATCCCACGTCGGGCTCCCGGTGCATGGAGCCTGCTTCTCCCTCTGCCTATGTCTCTGCACCCCCCCTCTGTGTGTGACTATCATAAATAAATAAAAATTTAAAAAAAAGACTAAATCGGGATCCCTGGGTGGCGCAGTGGTTTGGCACCGGTCTTTGGCCCAGGGCGCGATCCTGAAGACCCAGGATCGAGTCCCACGTCAGGCTCCCGGTGCATGGAGCCTGCTTCTCCCTCTGCCTGTGTCTCTGCCTCTCTCTCTCTCTGTGACTGTCATAAATAAAAAATAAATAAATAAATAAAAAGACTAAATCAGAAGGAAAATAGATGATCTGAATAGGTAACTGGTAAGGAGACTGGGTCAGCAACGGGGAATATCCCAACAAACACAAGTGCTAGACCTCACAGCTTCACTGTTTCATTTTACCAAAAATTTAAAGAGGAACTAATACCAACCCATCTCAAACGTTTCCAGAAAATTGAAGGGGACTGAACACTTCCTAACTCATTCTGTAAGGCCAGCATCACTCTGATACCAAAGCCAGGAAAAGACACCGCAAGAAACCTACAGACCATTATCCTTTATGAACACTGAAGCAAAAATCCTCAACAAATACTAGCAAAGCAAATTCAAAAGCATATAAAAAGGACTACATTCCATGACCAAGTGTGGTTTATTCCTGGAATGTGAGAATGGTTCAAAATATGAAAATCAAAAAAAATATATAAAAATCAATCAACACAATATACCATACAGTAACAGAATGAAGGGGAAAAAAACACAGTAATCTCAACTGATGCAGAAGAAGCATCTGAGAAAATCCAATACCCACCTTCATTATAAAAAGACTCAAGAGGGCAGCCCGGGTGGCTCAGCAGTTTAGTGCCGCCTTCAGTCCAGGGTGTGATCCTGGAGTCCTGGGATCGAGTCCCACGTCAAGCTTCCTGCATGGAGCCTGCTTCTCCCTCTGCCTGTGTCTCTGCCTCTCTGCCTCTCTCTCTCTCTCTCTCTCTCTCATAAATAAATAAATAAATAAATAAATAAATAAATAAATAAATAAATAAAATCTTAAAAAAAAAAAAGACTCAAGAAAGTAGGAACCCACCACAACATAATGAAAGTAGTACATGAAAAGTTCACAGCAAACATCACACTTACTGGTGGAAGCACAGTTCTTCCTCTAACATTAGGAACAAGACAAGGATGCCCACCTGCACCACTTCTATTCAATCTAGTACTGGAAATTTTAGACAAAGCAATTATGTAAAAAAAAAAAAGTGGGGGAAACAAAGAAAAGAAAGGTAACATTCAAATTGGAAAGAAAGAAGTAAAATTATATCTACTTGCAAATGGTATGATCTTATATGTAGAAAATCCTAAAGAGTCCACACACACACACACACACACACAAAAAAAAAAGCTACTAGAGCTAATAAGTGAATTCAGCAAAGTAGTGGGAAGGATACAAATCAACACACAGGAAGCAGCTGCATTTCTATACACTAACAACAATTTGAAAAGGAAATTATAAAAACAATCTCATTTACAAGAGCATCAAAGAGAATAAAATACTTAGGAATTAACAAAGGAGGTGAAAAATTGTACAATGAAAGCCACAGAACACTGCTTAGAGAAATAAAAGACATAGCTAAGTGGGAACACAACCCATATTCATGGATTGGAGAACCTAATATTGTGAAGATGTCAATACTATCCAAAGCCATCTACAGAATCGATGAAATCCTTATCAAAATCCCAGTGATTTTGTTTACAAAAATAGAAAAACTCATCGTAAAATTCACATGGAATCTCAAGAGACCCCAAATACCAAAACCAATCTTGAAAAAGAAATGCAGGACTCACACTCCTGATTACAAAACTCACTACAAAGCTACAGAAACGAAAACAGTGTGGCACAGGTACACAAATAGATAAACCAATGGATAGAGAGCCCAGAATTAAACCCTCACATATGTGGTCAGATAATTTTTTTAAAAAAAGATTTTATTTATTCATGAGAGGCACACACAGAGAGAGGCAGAGACACAAGCAGAGGGAGAAGCAGGCTCCATGCAGGGAGGCTGATGTGGGACTCCATCCTGGAACTCCAGGATCACGCCCTGGGCCGAAGGCAGGCACTAAACCGCTGAGCCACCCAGGTGTCCCAATTTTTTATAAGGGTGCCAAGACAATTCAATGGGTAAATGACAGCATTTTCAACAAATGGTGCTAGACATACTGGGTATCCACAGGCAAAGAATGAAGCTGGACTCCTACATAACACCACATACAAAAATTAACTTAAAGTAGATCAAAGACTTAAATGTACTATTTAAAACTGTAAAAGTCTTAGAAAAAAAATACATAAGGCAAAATCTCTATGACACTAGATCTGGCTATAATTTCTTGGATATGATGCATAGGAAACAAAAGAAAAAAGACAAATTGTGGACTTTCTGAAAATTAAGACTTTTGTGCATCAAAAGACACTATCAACAGAGTAAAATGCAACCCACAGAATGGGACAAAATATTTGCAAATTATATATCTGATAAGGCATTAGCTCCCAGAATACATAGAAGACTCCTTTAAAAAAAACACCACCACCACAAGAACAGCAAACATCCAATTCAAAAATAGGCAAAGGGACACTTGGGTGGCTCAGTGGTTGAGCGGGTGGCTCAGTGGTTGAGTATCTGCCTTTGACTCAGAGCGTGATCCCGGGGTCTTGGGATTCAGTCCCACATCAGGCTCCCTACAGGGAGCCTCCTTCCCCCTCTGCCTATGTCTCTGTCTCTCTCTGTGTCTCTCTCATGAATGAATACATACAAACTTGGGTTGTTTTTTTTTTTTTTTAAAAGGGCAAAATATTTGATCAGACATTTTTCCAAAGATACACAAATGGTCAATAAGCACATGAAAACATGTTCGACATCACTGGTAATTAGGGAAATGCAAATTAAAACTACAATGAAATACCACCTCACACCCATTAGGATGGCTACTATAAAACACACACAAACACGCACACAAAAAAAAACAAGCACTGGAGAGAATGTGGAGAAATTGAATCCCTTGCACACTGTTGTTGGGGATGTGGAATGGTACAGCCCT